GCAAGATTTTGTTCACAATACTCAACTTTGGAAAAAATTTCCCACCCAGCTATTTTGGACTAAAAACTTTTTCAACTTGAGTGTTGACTCACCACATTCCACTGTGAATAAACCATGTTTTCTGTCATTTTTCTGGAAATGCCTGTACTGAGAAAACCATTTAAAAACACATAACTTAAGGTAACGTTTTACATGAGGCTCTGTTTTCTTTTTAGTTGCATTAAAGATTTACCAATTCATCACATCAATTTCTGTTCAGGCACAGCCAGGGTACACAAAGAACTAAAATATGGTTTCTATTTTCCTGTAGCACTTATTATGGTATAGGAAGAATGCCACTGATATGCTAGAGCAGTCTGCTGCTACAGTAAGCCAGGGATCAGCAACCTATGGCACTTGTTCCATGGATGGCACTCGAGGTGCCTTTGTACAGAAGTCAAGGCTGCCAGAGCAAAACATGCTCTAGCCTATCCAGAGTCCCAGTGAGGCTTCAGACATTTGCCAGTGCAACCCAAGCAGTGAATGCAGGTGGTGAGGGACAATCCTCAATTTAGGCATTGCAAGACTTGTTAACAGGAATCTGCACTTGAGTAGAGCAGCCAGCAGCAGCTTTGTAACTTCTGTCCTTGACCTGTACCTGTTCAGCCAAGTCCCCACTGGAACCCAGGGAAGCCACCGATACTGCTAGATAAACACAAAATTGTAGAAGAAGCCTCTTCCTCATACAAATAATACAAACAGCCCACACACAAAGTCCCCACAAACACAACACCACTCACAATCTACATACAGTACACGCACACAACCCCCACAAGCAGTCTCACACATGCAATACCACACCATACACACACCCAAACATACAATGTGAGATATCATCCAGACACACAATTCCACAAGCAGCCCCTATACACAGCCCACATTTATAGGTATCACACACAATACCACAAACTCCTTATGAACATATACAATATAACAACCCACATACAAATCCAATGTTTACATAGCAACTGCAACATCCACAAATAACACAAGTACAATACGGCTACATGAACACCTCAATTTAAGAAAAAAAATATGATTAGCACAGCAAGAGACTTCTTTTGACACAGTACTAGTAAAAGGTTGCCTACCCCTGCTCTAAGCCAATCAGGCTTTTCAGTCTTAAAAAAAATTCCTGCAACACCCTGTTCTTATACATCACATGAACTAATTATAACAAATACTACTGTCAATATATAGCAGCAGTCTGGCAGTGCTTGCTGTTTACTGAGCACTAGGCATGCATTTTAACTTCTGTCTCATTTTAAAACTGAAAAAAGCTCTAAATAGCATGTGATCCTTGTAGCATTATACCTTTAAAAGTATTGCAATTTAAATAACATTACCATATGTTCTCTTCTTTTTATTTTTTTTATTATAACTTCTTTATTTAAGAGAGTTTTTAGTTTTTACAGAAAAAGGAAGCCATACATCACATAACAGTTCACAAGTTTTAGTAGTGTTCGGTTGCAAGACCACTGGTAGTCTGTCGTAATTTGCTTTCTGCACCTTTGGATCATATTTTCTCTTCTAAAGACAGCACTCATGAAACAAAGCAAAATTATACTTAGAATAAAATGTATTACTGCATTGTTTTCCCCTAGTTCGTAATTTAAATGGGGAACATGAAAACTATATACAGAACCGATTGTTCTTTTTTTTTTTTTACAATAATTTGTAATAATTGTGTTGTAAATTTATATTAATGGGACACTATAGTCACCAAAACAACTTTAACTTAATGAAGTGTGTAGATCGTGCCCCTGCAGTCCCTCTGCTCAATTCTCTGCCATTTAGAAGTTAAATCATTTTTGTTTCTGCTTATGCAGTTCAAGCCACACCTCCCCTGTCAGTGACTCATACAGCCTGAATGAAAAAAATGGTTTTACTTTCAATCAGATGTTAACTTACTTTAAACGTTTTGATCCCCTGCTCTGTACATTGAACTTTAATCACTCATAGGAGGCTCCTGCAGAGTTTAGCAAGCTATCAACAAAACAGAACATAAGAAATTCTAAATTAAACAGAATTTACACTAAAGAAAGTGTAAACATTAGATGACTCTTTACAGGAAGTGTTTAGGAAGGCTGTGTAAGTCACATGCAAGGAGATGTGACAATGGCTGTATAAACAAAGTGATTTAACTCCTAAATGGCAGAGGATTTAGCAGCGAGATTGCAAGGGCATGATCTATACACCAAAACTGCTTCATCAAGCTCTTTTGGTGAATATAGTGTACCTTTAATCTAACTTTGTCTTCAACATAATCGTTTTCGGTGACATAAATTTCTTGACGATCACTTCCTTAAAAAAATATATAAAGGGTGAAGGTACTATATATTGAAGGAATATGCAGAAATAGTTGTGCCTTTTCACGTAGCTTAGTATTGCCATGGGGAAGAGAACTCTTTTGGGAAGATTGCCTCATTAGGGAGAAAATGTTTCTGTAACTTAGTGCATTATGCCTTAGAATCTAAATGAAGGCAAATGAACAGATTTGCAGACTGTTTTTGTCCAGATTTTACTATTGAACAAGGCTAAAATGAGTTGCAATGCACTAGGAGGATTAAGAACGACTAACAATTCTTGCGCAAAATAAAAAAAGTGGAGCAATCTCTCTAGACATCAATGGAATTTTCTTGCTAGAACTTAGCTCTTAGCTACATAGCTTAGTATGTTTGTTTAATTCTGGAAGTATATAGACCACAGAATAATATATATAAGTAAAAATATATATTTACCATATGAGGCCAATAGACAAAATGCCAAAACTAATATTTAAAAGACACATTTTTTAAGAGATTTCCTCTCTTTCTTAGGTCTGAGGCAATACTGATCAATATGGCAGACTTTAACACTTAAATCAACTGATGCTGTAAGAAATTGGGGCGTGGCTAGATTAACATAGGGGCTGATAGGCCCATTGAGTTTTAAAACAAAAAACATTTTTTTTTTCTACTCTTCACATGCTCTTGCTTAGCATAAAGCTGACTTTGCGCACTATGCAAACACTCTTGCTACTTCAGTCTCTCTAACACTTTGGCATGTTCCCTTTCTTCTACACTCACTGTCCCAGACTTTATACCAGGAGATTGCCTGCTAGTAAGAAGGTAAGGAAAGGAGTGAACAAGTGAGTGCTAGGGGACAGTCCTTAGAAAACGGGAAGCAAGCGCATCATTAGACACATTTTCTTCTACACTCGCACACACCTTTTCTCTATCCCAGACTATATACCAAGAGATTCTGCCTGCTAGTAAGAAGGTAAGGAGAGGAGCGGACAAGTGAGTGCTATGGGACAGTCCTTAGAAAGCATGGAGCGAGCGCATCATTAGATATATTTATGCCACGCTCTGGGTGCTGTCTACATAGTATGCCCTTAGCGGTCAAGCCTGATTAGCAGGGAGCTTGACATGCATTCATGCCAGGCCGACCATGTAATTCTTTGGGCAGATACTCCTCCTTTTTGGGCATGTTCACCCCTTTGGGGGTTCTGGTTATGTGATTCACGTCACCAGACACCCACCGACATCCTGCTTCACCGGACATTGCTGTTTGGGGTTATGGATTTACTTGAAACATAAAGGCAAGAGATTAGCATAGGGCAGGCATAGGCAATCTTTGGCACTCCAGATGTTTTGGACTACACCTCCTATGATGCTTTGCCAGCATTATGGGTGTAAAAGCATTATTGGGGATGTAGTCCACAACATCTGGAGTGCCGAAGGTTGCCTACCCCTGGCATAGGGTATGTGTTTTTGTATAGCTATATTGTGTGAGTTTCCCTCCAGCACCACCTCCACCAGATATATGAGGCTTTGGAGGTATAACTGTTTTAGTGTTTTCAGTCGATAAGATTCTCTAATTAGACCCATCATATATGTCAGCACCAGGCCCAATGGGCTCTTAATCTGGCTCTGAATTGGGAGTATCCTAAATAGCAGAAGAGAGGCCAGAAAGGTTCAGACATATCTGCTACTTACGACATTGCACTCACTTCCCCTTCTCTAACCGCAGTTGCTTTCAGCGTTAAACTCTGTCATATTGATCAGTATTATTTCAGACCTGAGGAAGACAGAAAATCTCTCAACATTTTTAAGTATGTTAGCCCTGTAAAAAAGTACTCTGGTTGCTTTGGCTAGATATATATATATATTCACAGTTTAGCTTGGATTAGCCATATTAGTCCAGTAGACAAACAGGTATCATTGCACTACAATACTCTGATATTTTGGCATCTTATATATATTTTAGTGTGCTCTATGTTATATAATACTGAACACTATAGCAGGGTTACAGACTTTACATAAAAGGTTTACCATCACATACACCTAGCTACACACTGATAGAAAAGGAGCAGGGGCCCTGCTGTGCTGAGAGCAGAATAAGTTTTGATATATGGCAGTGTTTTAGCAGCCCTAGCCTGCAGCTACACATACTTCCCCTGGGTTTGTACAGCACACACTATAGCCTTGAGTAACACACTCCCCACCACTCCCTGCATAGCACATCAAGCATGAACCGGGCAAGTCAACGTGTGCACACAAATAGGGTTAACTTTTTTTATTAAAAATTAAACTAAATCTATACTATAGGAGCACTATATTTAATGAGGGCTGCAGTGATTATACTGTGTGCACGAACTATGAGCCTCGGTAAACACGTTTAGGATGTGGTCACTCTCGTTAACTAACACACACACACACACACACACACGGTTCGGCCACTCCAGCACTCGCAACTAGGAATGCGCGCCCCCGCCGTGTTCGACCCATCCCCGAGCGGCTGCGGTGAGGAGGTGGGGAGAGCGCTGAGTGTTGCCAGGCATGATGACGTAGTGGGTGGGGTGCGGCTGCGCGCGTTGCACAGCGGGGGCGCGCACGCAGGGGGCGGACGCGCGTTCTTGTAGTGTGCTCCGAAAGTTAGGTCCGACTCCAGGGGAGCGCTGCGTGCCGACAGGCAACATGGACGATCTGGGTATGTGATGGTTCAAGCGGGCTGATCTCCTGTCCCAGGCTGGCTAACACGATGTGTGTCCCGGGTGGTAATTAGTGCTCACCCTGGCCCCCCATGGTTTAATATTCTTTGTTGGCTAGTTTTCTGGGTGTCTGGGTGCATAGCATTACACTGGCCTGGGGGCTGCTTCCATGTCTTACAATGGCTCCCTGGACCACTGGCCACTACTTTACACACTATTCATTGACTATTCAATGCTAGCCATGGCCACTGCTGACTGACAGCAATGCCATTAACCACTTGTTTGCCAGGGGGAGGGGGGGTGGGGGGTGAGCCATGTCAAAGAAATGTTCTGCCTCTTATCATTAAAGGGTTAAATAAAATTTTGCCCCAGTGGCAGTCTGTGTTTAGAATGACCTGTGTTGGGCTGCCTTCATGAAAATGCAATGTGTTGCACTAAGTTAGCCTCAGTGGCAGAAACCTCTGATATTTGTCACAGCCCAGAGTTTGCAAAGTATATAACGTGCATGTGATTAGAGGAGGATGCATCTTGCTCTGATTATCAGCTCTTATTTTATGCTCGTTCTCTCAGCATCCAGTTGGTAAACATACCAGCATTAAAGCATAACATATGTTTTCATCACAGTGCATGTTTCAAAGACTTGCAATGGAGAATGTTGATCCTGCTTTTGCTGTAATCCTTGTTTCTCGTGTTTTTTTGTTTTGTTTTTTTTTACACCAAAACTGAATGTGCTGTTTATATTTGATCTTTGTTTCATGATTTTTTTTTTTTTTTCAGTAACCTTTTTTAATGTATGTGCAAACATAGTATATCTTTTGTATTTGAGAGATTTCCATCTTGATCACAAAATGATTTTTGTATTCTGTTAAAAGAACCTTAAATTGGTAAATCAATCTATTAAAATCAGTGCTAACTGAAGAGACATTTCCACCAAGAATCTTTACACAAATTGTATTGAGCCACAAACTGCTACTAATAATGAAATAGTTATAAAATATTTACATGCTAGCTGTTCTTGCATGTTTAAAGCTTTAATGTAGTGACTTTTTGCATATTTAGATACATATTTTGTATGTATTTTACATTGGAGTTTGTTTTAATTCCAGGCAATTCATAGGCCTAATTATTATCGTCATTAAGCTGAAGTCAAGTCCGTTGGCAGTTTTTTTTCTGTAGTACGAATTCCTAAGCCTAAAAATGTCAGAGCAGGAACTATCTAAATGAAAACTAGGATAAGCCGAGTATAAATTGATATGAAATACTGTAATACTTTTGTGTTGAGAAGACAATTTTGTGCTTGGACAAAGATGCTCACTGAAACAGATTTTGGGTGAAGCAAACATTGTGGTAAAGCCTTATTACTGACTGCATGCTAATAACACCCTCTGAGTGCTAACATTGAGTGCAGCGCTTAGCCATGTGTTGCTCATGTTTCATCCAATCCATGTGTTGCTCATGTTTCATCCAATAAAAAATTTTGCATACACACGTTAGAACTATGAAGAAGTTGAGTTAAGACATGTTAACGGTAGCCCTTGGAAAGGTTACTGTTTAAGGTGTGTTTATTTAATCAAGGCACATTCTGCACTATTAATACATTACCTTCTTTAGACAGTGGAGAAAATACATGCATATAGGGCCCAGCATCTGATTTCATGGCATAGGGTTGCATTTGTAATCCCTCGATTCTGAGTATGTAGAAGTGTGGGAGGAACGGTGCTATTTCTGGGGACAGTTTGTGTGCCTCTTGGACTCCAGTATTTGCTTTAATTAAGCGTAATGTGGGCTTTCAGTCTTGGCAGGATACGTGTGCTGTTGCCATGTGTGTGGTGTAGACTGCTGTGACTCAGTATGTGCCCTTCCTCCTGGCCCTGGAATCCTACAGCTCGTGTTCATATAACACCCTACGACAAATCGGGATACATGCTATTCTATTTCATTTTTTCCCCTAGAATTATTTATCAGTTCCAGCTATATTATCTGGTTTATGAAAGTTCTTTCTTTATATAGCATCCATAGATTTTTGTTTTGTGCTAAATCCTAAAAGAACTGTAGTGACGTTTTTGTTTGATCAGCACAAGGTTTCTTTGAAGCATAGCTTTGTTTTTGCTCCACTCAAACTTGTTTTTTACAGGCACTTTAGTATTTAGAGTGTGAGCTTGTATGTAGAGTATTAACACGTTGAAATGTGTTGTTACATTACAAATTAATGACATTATGCAATTCAGTAACTCAGAACATCCATACACTGGTGCTTTATTGCTTTGTAGAGATTACCGCAGCTACCCCCACAGTTTCTCTCTTCACCCACCCTCACTTATTCTACTTTACTCCTGCACTTCTAAAAAAACCAACATGCTTGGGTCTTTTACATCAAGCGTCTTCACCGCACACTTCCCCTACACTTTATCCTAGTGGAATACGTTTGCTGAGATTTAGTAGAGATTTGTGCTTGTATCTGTCTCCTGTCAGCAAGATAGTACATTGCACAATCTGATAATAGGGGGGTGTTTGCTTACATGCATAATGAGCGGGGAGAACGGCATTTGCAGTTACTACCCCAAAAACTACAACCAACCGTTTTCTTCAAGCAGCATTCTCTGTTGAGTTTTGTTTAGTTAATGGTGAGTGGGAATAACCCCACCTATGCATTTTATTTGCATTAATTGGAAACTAGGTGCACTCAATGTTGGTTACATTTTGTTGTGTTTGGCGGCTTTTTTTTTTTTACATGCCCTGCCCAATTTCACTGTTTCCCTGCTTAAAACCACTGCTGTACATAATGAACTGACGTAGATTTCTACAAGTGGTAGATCAGCTATTCCATAATACAAAATAACAATATGAACTCCATGTGCACATCCAGCTCACCAGGTATATTGTTTTCATATCCATTGCAAAAGTATTGAAGGGTAATTAAACCTACATTTCAGTATGGGCTCCTTATCATTTTAAGTTAATTAGGGGTAGCTATTCTATATGTGTTATGTGTATTTTAGTAGCATTGAAGTGTTACTGATTGAGGTAATTCACGAAAGGAACGTCTGACTGAATGTAGATGGATTTCAGCCTGTTTGGAGCAAAACTGAAATGCAAGCTGAAGTATGGAAATACGCAGCCCAACGCAACAGTTAGGACCATTCTGATAGTTATAGAACACTATAGTCACCAAAACAACTTTAGATTAATTAAGCCATTTTGGTGTATAGAGAATGCCTCTGCAGTCTCACTGCTTAAAGGTCCACTATAGGCACCCAGACCATTTCAGCTTAATGAAGTGGTCTGGGTGCCAGGCCTATCTAGGCTTAACCCTTTTTCCTGTAAACATAGCAGTTTCAGAGAAACTGCTATGTTTACCTTTGGGTTAATCCAGCCTCTAGTGGCTGTCTCATCGACAGCTGATAGAGGTGCTTCCGTGCTTCTCACTGTGATTTTCACAGTGCGAAGACACCAGCGTCCATAGGAAAGCATTGAGAATGCTTTCCTAAGGACTGGCTGAATGCGCGCGCGGCTCTTGCCGCGTATGTGCATTCAGCCGATGACAGCGAAAAGGAGGAGGAGTGTTCCCCGCGTCGAGGGAGCCCGGCGGGGGAAAAGGTAAGGGACCCTTCCACCCCCTAGAGCCTGGCGGGAGGGGGACCTAGAGACCCTATACTGCCAGGAAAACGAGTGTTTTCCTGGCACTATAATGGTCCTTTAATTCTCTGCCATTTAGGAGTTAAATCACATTGTTTATGCACCCTAGTCAAACCTCCTTGCATGTAACTTGAACAGCCTTCCTAAACACTTCCTGTAAAGAGTCATCTAATATTTATCCTTCCTTTATTACAAATTCTGTTTAATTTAGATTTTATCTCCTACTCTAATAGCTTGCTAGACCTAGAAGGAGCTTCCTGTATGTAATTAACCCCTTAAAGGATCACTATAGGGTCAGGAACACAAACATGTATTCCTGACCCCATAGTGTTAAAGCCACCATCTAGCCCCTCATGCCTCCATAAATATAGCAAAATCTTACTGTATTCAAGCCTGAAGCTGTAACTCTGCATGCTGTTTGTGTCAGAAAAACAAGCAGTCTGCTGACATCATCAGAAGTGGTAGTCTGATCCAATCACAGTGCTTCTCCATAGGATTGGCTGAGACTGACAAGGAGGCAGATCAGGAGCAGAGCCAGCATGATTCAAACACAACCCTGGCCAATCAGCATCTCCTCATTGAGAATAATTGAATTAATGAATCTCTATGAGGAAAGTTCAGTGTCTGCATGCAGAGGGAGGAGACACTGAATGTTTGGATGCATTTTAGGCAGCCATGACCCAGGAAGGGTCTCTAACAGCCATCTGAGGAGTGGCCAGTGAAGTTATCACTAGGCTGTAATGTAAACACTGCATTTTCTCTGAAAAGACAGCGTTTACAGCAAAAAGCCTGTAGGTAATGATTCTACTCACCAAAACAAATTCAATAAGCTGTAGTTGTTCTGGTGACTATAGTGTCCCTTTAAGGACTGAGCCAAATGTACACGTTTTGATCAAAATAAAATATAAACAAAACTTGGAATTTGTTTGTTAAACCGTAATTCACCTCTTTCATGTTAAGTGCACTCACACTTATTATATATCATTTTATTAAGGAGAAATAGGGCTTTCATTTAACATCAAATATGTAGCTATGAAACATAATTTAATATGAATAAAATATCAAAAAATGTGAGAAATTTTTCTTTAGTCTGCCATGACATTTTAACTGTGAATGTCATAATACTGTTTGCTGTTTTACTGCAATAAAATACACATATTTGTATTCAGCGATGTCTCGCGAGTAAACAGTACCCTCTATGTACAGGTTTTATGGTGTTATGGGAAGTTATAGGGTCAAATATAGCATGTTAGATTTTTCAGGTTTTTTTTTTCACATTGGAATTCACCAGATTGGTTACATGGCTTTGAGACTGTATGGTAGCCCAGGAATGAGAATTACCCCCATGATGGCATACCATTTGCAATACTAGTCAACCCAAGGAATTGCAAATGGGGTATGTCCAGTCTTTTTTAGTAGCCTCTTAGTCTCAAGCACTGACCAAAGTTAGCGTTAATATTTATTTGTGTGTGAAAAATGCAAAAAACTAATTAGAACGGCAATTTTGGGCAGTGTTTGTAAATGTGGCTACTAAAAAAGACTGGACATACCCCATTTGGTATGCCATCATTGGGGTAATGCTCATTCCTAGGCAACATAACCAATCTGGCGAATTTTAATGTGAAAAAACTAAAACACAAGCTTTATATTTGACTCTGTAACTTTTGAAAACACTATAAAACCTGTACATGAGGGGTACTGTTATACTCAGGAGACTTTGTTGAACACAAATATTAGTGTTTCAAAACCGTAAAACTTATCACAAGAATTATATCGTCAGTGTAAGTGCCGTTTGTGTGTGAAAAATGCAAAAAACATCACTTTCACTAATGATCCCATCTTTGTAACACATTTTACTGTTTTGAAAAAGGTAAATCACTGATAACTAAGGCAGTAAATAATAATGTGTGCAGCTACATACAAATACAAGCAATCTGAAGAAGAAAAAACTCAAAATATATAAAATAGTATGTGCGCTCCTAAACACTATTCTGGTGGCAGTTCTTATTTTTATTATCAAAGCATTATCGGCAGCTACAGTATGTTGTGATTGTGGTATTTTACATCTGCCTATCTATAATTATCAGGACTCTCTGGTATATGAAAATTGCTTCTTGCATATAAATTATGTTATTTGAGAGAGGTGTAAGGATTTCAGCAATATTTTGTGATTTCTTGATTTTATTTTGTATTAAAGAATTATCTGTTTTCTCTATTTTTGCTTTGTACATTGTTTCATTTTGCTTTGTACATTGTTTAGGAGCGCACTTACTGTTTTGTGAACACTAATATTTGTGTTCAGCCAAGTCTCCCGAGTAAAACAGTACCCCCCATGTACAGGTTTTATGGTGTCTTGGAAAGTTACAGGGTTAAATATAGTGCTAGCAAATTAAATTCTATGGACTTTCTGTCTGGGTTATCAGGTAGGTCCCTCAAATTGTAATTAATAGAATGACTTAATTATGTAAAAATATTACATAAATATATTATGATATTTCTAGAGCACCGTCAAATTCTGCAGCGCTTTACAATGGGTGGACAAACAGACATGTAGTTGTAACCAGACAAGTTGGACACACAGGAACAGAGGAGTTGAGGGCCCGGCTCAAAGAGCTTACATGCTAGAGGGAGTGGGGTAAAATGACACAAAAAGGATAGTATTAGACTAGTGACAGTTGCAGAAGAGGAATCAGTCAGGAGCTATTAACAGTTTATATATGTAGAATTCAAATATATATATTCGTTCTAAGTGTATTTTGATATCAAAATACAATTAGAAATTACACATATATATTTTATAATTTTTTCATTTTTAACGTATTTATATATTTATTTATAATATAATTCTACGTGTATTTCGATATTTTTATATAATTTATATTAAAATACACTTAGACAGTGTGTGTGTGTGTGTGTGTATAGATATGTATATATTTTAATTTTACTCTGTTTTAAAACTTTATTTTAATTCAGGCAGCAGGGGGACTACCTGTCATTCCAGGCACTCCCCCTGATGGTACAGCTATGGACGGCTATTCCGTCCATGTGATCGTGAGGTCCTCCTCGGGATGCCAGGTAAGTTTCCTCCCCCCCGCCCCCAATCACGATCTCTGGCGTGGGATCGCCGGCGAGCAGGTAAGTCCCCATGGACTGCATTGACCTGCTATGCTGCCCACCGGCGTTTAGAGCAGGGTCCCCAAGGACAACATAGCATGCACGCTGTCCTTAAGGGGTTACAGTTCAATTTACAAAGCAGGAGATAAAATCTATTAAGGTAAGTTACATCTGATTGAAAGTGAAACCATTTTTTTTTTTCCATGCAAGTTGTCAGTCGGAGCCGGGGGAGGTGTGGCAAGGGCTGCATAAACAGAAACAAAGTGTTTTAACCCATAAATGGCAGTGAAAATTCAGAGGCATAATCCATACACTAAAACCGCTTCATTAAACTAAATTTGTTTTGGTGACTATAGTGTTCCTTTAACTGCAGGAAAGGGTCCAATATACCCCAATAATTGAATTCATAATTTTTTTTAACAATATAAATAAACAGGTTTGTATTCCACCCCTCTCCCCATTAAATTCATATTTTGAATTACTATTTTAAGTGCTTGCCACTGGCTGAGCATGCAGTGGACTAGTGGATTTTGGTAGATTATGCAGTGCAAACAGTAAGTAAAGTGTGTGAATTTGCTTTTTTATTAGGTTTATTCTGAGTGGATCCTTTTTGAAATTCAGTGCGATAAATATGTGAACCTAAATTTTACATAGGAATTGCATGTGAAAATTATTTATTATAAAGCAGACCTGAAGGTAAATGACGAGATGTATATATTCTTTCAGTTGAAATAACACAATTGTAAGCAAACTTGTATTTAGTAAATATGAATATTGCAATTTGGTCAATTTAACCATATTTTGCTAAACCAGACCGTATTTCAAACTATTGTGAGTTGGTTTTCATTTTGAAATGATGGGACAATTAAAAAAAAATTTTTTTTTAAATTTCTTTCTTTTTTTTTTTTTTAATTTCCCTACTTGGTGCAATGAGGTAATGGTGTTTTAAAAAAATAAATAAAAATAATAATGAAGTGTTCAGTCTCCATGTGTGGCATATTTTAGAGGTTTCTCTCTTTTCCTGTATCTTTGTGGCAGGGTAGTTGAGTTTTTATTTAATGCTATACTTTAACTCTATGTATATCAGCTGGTTTCTGTCTGTGCCTATTTCAGTTCTAACCTTTGGTGTATGGAGCTGAATGACACAAAATGGAGGTGAAATTGCGAGGGGGGAGGGGCATTCTTGGCTCCAGATAGAGGGGTGTGGGAGGAAGGGACTGCTTCCTTCCATTTCTGAGCTTTGTTTCCTTCCATTCCTAAATGTTTGTGTACATGTTGAAATTTGGATGGTTTGTTACCTCACTGGTAAAGAATCTAATTCATGCCTAGTTCAGGATGGAGGCAATTGCCCATGTTCTGAACCATAATAAAACCTTGAATTTGATCTAAAGGTTTGATAAAAACTTTTAAATTACAAAGTGCCCCAATACATATTATATATATATATATATATATATATATAGTCTTTTAAAGGACAGAAAAGGCTTTCATCTAATATCCTAACACAACAATACATGTGAATAAAATGTTAAAAATTGAGGACAAATGTTTTCCCCCATTTTTGCTTATGATTTGTACACATCCAGTGCAACTAATTAAAAAGGGCTCAATAGATTCATATATCAGTCCTAATTGTTAAATTCCTAATGTCTAAAGGATCTAAACTAATAGTTAACGCTAGCCCTATACTGTACAAACTAACGATATACCAACCATGCCCCTTATCATTGAATCTAACCATATGTCTACTCTAATCTTACCCTTAATCCTACTCTTTCTTTACCCCTTATCATTACCTTACTGCTAACTCTACTCTTACCCCTAAATTTAACCCTACCCTTACCCCACCTCTGTTCACAACCCTAAGGTAACCCAATTGCTAATTTTAATTAGAAAAGGGTTTTACTATTTAATACAGTGGATAATGGTATGTTGCCACCGTTTACTAGCCTTTTTTAGAATGACATTTGGTATAATTTTAAGTGAGGCTGGTTCCAAGCGTATAAAGTGTGTGAAGTCATATCCGGCGGATGCGCAGCAGCACGCAGAGGGGCAGTCTGTCTGCAGAGCACACCAGTCACTCCTCCTTACCTCCTGCTTGAAGTGCTAGAAGAGCGTCTAGCCTGCTTGACCAGAAAAGAAAAGGGCTGCAACTGGAGCACAGGTGGCTCATCTTAAGGCAGGGGAAGACGGGAGGGAGGGGGCAGTGTATTACATTTGGGCGCAGTGTATTGGATTTAAGACAGTGTATTAGATTGGGTCTGCATGGAGGCGCTGAACGCTCCCCATGGAGATGCTGATTGGCCGCGCAGCGTTTTGCCACACATCCAAAGTAGCCTCCCAATGCTTTCCAGTGGAAGGCATTGGATTGGCAGAGATCATCAAATTTGAGCCAAAATGAAGAACATACTCATAGAACTTCATAAAATCAGCAAGATAACGCCATTTGTTTTTTTTACATCTGTCTAACAGCATAAATTCACCATTTCAGTCCCATTACCAAACTTTTCTTAATATGTCAAGGTAGTTGGACTGAAACAGTGGTTATATTGAAATGCACTTTTCCTTAAAATAAATTAGCGCTTTTGTTTACTTTGAAGCCCTACGAGGGTGAGGTAGTCCAGTGTCAGGTAACTTTTTTTTTTTTATACTGGACTCTTCTAAATAAGCCTACGTTTATATGAAAACTGAATTTTTTTTTACCGCACACATGAACGCAAACCTTGTTTAAATGGCCTGTGTTAGTCTTTGCGTTTGACATGCTTGCTCTACACGTGCTCTACAAGGCAAGATGAAGGATTGAGAATTCTTTCTTTAATAAATACATACTTCCAGAGAACAGTGGGATTTTAAGTTTAATTTCTCTTCCCTGTTTGATAGCAGGGTATGACTGTTTTCATTCAGAAGTGTCTGAAATTTCAGGTCGTGTTCCAGCCTGGTATCCTGATGTTATGCCTTTGACAAGTTTTGAATTGAAAGTGCAATCCAGAATATTTCCTCTATATCAGAGAACATTAAATTCTGTTTTGATCAAAATGTGTTTATAATTTCCAGATTGTGTCTTCGTTTTAAAGGGACACTCCAGGCACCCAGATCACTTCTGCCCATTGGAGAGGTCTGGGTGCCAACTCCCAATACTATTAACGCTGCAAGTGTAATTATTGCAGTTTTTTAATAAACTGCAATAATTACCTTGCAGGGTTAACTCCTCCTCTAGAGGGCACTTCCGTGTCCCTAGCACAGGAAACCTGTGCTAGAACGTCGCTGGACGTCCTCACGCTGTGAGGACCTCCAGCGTCGCTCATTTCCCCATAGGAAAGCATTTTCAATGCTTTCCTATGGGGAGCTCTAATGCACAGTGGGTGGGATCAGTCTCGCCCACCGGCTGACGCAGTCACTGGAAGGAGCAGCGGTGGAGGAAGAAGCAGTGACGTGGGACATCGTCGCTGCCTCTGGTAAGTTACTGAAGGGGTTTCCACCCCTTCAGCAACTGGGTTTGGGGGGTGGGTGGGAGAGGGGACCTGCAGTACCAGGAAAACAGATTGTTTTCCTGGCATTGGAGTTTCCCTTTAAGGTGGTTCTCATCTAGTCTATTTTATTTGTCTCCATAGCAAGACAGCTGTCACATTTCTTACAGGAGTTTGTCTTGTATTAGTCTAGACTTGTTCCTTTTTATAGATTTGGTTATCACAACCTTAATTCCTACCTGACACACGATTTCTCCAAGAAATTCCCTACATTTGAATACCATGGTGTTGCTGACCAGCAGCCTCTGGGGTACAATGACTTGTCTCAGCAGATATTATGACATTATCCTATTGAATTTTTGTTGAGGGATTTTTTTCATGTAAAATCAAATCTAAACATTACAGTGTTTAGACGCACAGCAGACTGCATCCTTGGAGCATAAGTATTAGACTAAAATGAAACAATAGTAAAAGTGAAACATTTCAAGCCACTTGGTAATCAATATACTTCTATTACCCATAAGTAAATGCTGCCGTGTATGATCAGGAATAATGAAAATTGTTTTTCATACCATAACTTTCTTTTCCTGATCATTATACATAGCAGCATTAAAGGACCACTCTAGGCAACCAGACCACTTCAGCTTAATGAAGTGGTCTGGGTGCCAGGTCCTTCTAGGGTTAACCCATTTTTTTATAAACATAGCAGTTTCAGAGAAACTGCTATGTTTATGAATGGGTTAAGCCTTCCCCCTAATCCTCTAGTGGCTGTCTCATTGGCAGCCACTAGAGGCGCTTGCGTGCTTCTCACTGTGATTTTCACAGTGAGAGCACGCCAGCGTCCATAGGAAAGCATTGTAAATGCTTTCCTATGCGACGGGCTGAATGCGCGCGCAGCCAGCCCAGGAGGAGGATCGGAGGAGGAGAGGAGGCAGAGAGCTCCCCGCCCAGCGCTGGAAAAAGGTAAGTTTTAACCCCTTTCCTCTCCCCAGAGCCGGGCGGGAGGGGGACCCTGAGGGTGGGGGCACCCTCAGGGCACTATAGTGCCAGGAAAACGAGTATGTTTTCCTGGCACTATAGTGGTCCTTTAAGTTCTACCCATCTACTTTGAGAGTTTTGAAGCTAGTTACAAAGACTGCCAATGGGGTGCATCTATAGCAATTTTAGAGTTCCATTTCCTGTCCTTTCTACTGTGAGGGGAGATGCTAACCCATAAGTAAATGCTGCCATGTATAATGATCAGGAAAAGAACATTACGGTAAGAATTAAACAATTTTCCTTATTAAAGAGCTACTTGTAGCACTGGTTTCCTACACTACAAGCAATTCAACAAAAAGTCAGGGGCCAATAAAAATGCCTCCTGCAATCAGAGGCATCCCTGGCTATCTATTGATACCTGGGGCTTCTTGGTGTGAGCAAGGATTTAACCCCACAAACAAATAATCTGCATGGTGTTATCTGCTCCCCAAAAGGCTTTTAATCCCCCTTTATGTAGGATCCAAATTTGCCTCCAGCGGTGATGTCCACTCCCAGGCAGCAACCAGCATCCGAATAGTCACTTTCGGGAAGCGCAGAGTGCTGACTGGCAGGAGCACCGCTGGTTGGCTGAGAGTAGTCAGCTGACACTCAGCCAATCAGTGACTCTCCATTTACTAAACTGGCCTAATTTAGATGGTTGTTTTTCTACTAGGAGTGTCCCTTTATTGAGGAAGTGGTAGCTTGAGCAGCAGTGGGATTGGTGATTGGCTGAGAGTGTCCGTTGATAGTTTTCAGCCTATCACAGTTGCCCATAATGGTAGCATGAATTGGTGTGGCGAATAAAGAGTGTAATCCTTCCTTAGCCTTGCCTCCAATAGAGACTGGGTGGTGGGAGGCTAGCCAAGCCTAAACTAGGATGATCCAATGAATCAGAACATCATTTTAGTTGAAGGAATGGCATTTATCTGTAAAAAGCACTATTTCTGAGGAAGCGGAGGAAGTGTGCACAGCTCATGAAATGTGTTCGATGAGACTTAGCAGCCCGAGATCATTACCACATGTTGGTTGTTTTAAAAGGGAAGTAAAAATGGATAATGGAAACAAAAACATAAGGGCTTTTCCATTGTTGGCCGATGTCTCATGTAGATGCTAATATTAACCCCAAGATGCATTTTCAGTGATTCAGACTAGTTGCATTCTTGCTTTACATAACCTCCATTTTCTGGGTTAGTACTGTAAAAATACTGTCAAAACATGTATATTTATTTTTGCATTTTGTAATGCTTGCCCTTTTAACTCTTATGTGATGGTTCGTCTGGCACTCCGACAGAGTGATTCCGCCAATTGATTCTCCTAGTGCTCACAAAGGACCACCAGCACCGCACCAGACACCATAAGCACTGCAGACCTCCCAACCGCCGCAGCTTGGTTGGGGTCTCTCCGTCTCCTACCCACCCTGGACCTCCTAATGATTATCCAAGGGATTATGATGATCATAGCAATCCCTTGTAGTGATATAGTAGTTCCCTACAACACAAGACGAGGCTGCGAGTTGAAGGTCTGAAGGTTTATTGGTACAGGTTGGATTTATATACAATTTCCTGGACCAGAGGAACACCCTCTGGACCTGATGGGGCACCGGATTACAAAATGTACAGACCAATAAAAGCAATGTAACTATGAACGACACTCCCACATACAGTACACAGTCCCTCCCCTCTGCCTGTGATACAATTAGGCAGATAATACATTAACTTAATTATCCCCAGTCAGAAAAAAACACATTTTTATAAAGTACCATAAGTACCCCAAAACACAACATATCCCCATATTACATCCCCTAATAGCTCTGATCTGGGTGAACAACATATCCAAAAATCACCCAGATGAGATCAGGGGTTCAGAAATTTTATGGAAGTCATATTTTTGACCAGACGAACGCAGGATTTCATGCCTAAAACAGTTCCATAGATTCGTGACTAAGTGCCGCTGGAGGACTGACCGGGAACCACGAGGTTTTCATGCCAAAAATAGTTCCAGGGCATTCGCAGCTAAGTCCCCCTGAAGTCTATTTGCTGTTTTGGTCCATTCGAACAAGATGACCACCACCACATGTTCAAATGTCGAATGGCGGCCACTTTGACTGTTCGGGAGTTCGAAGAACCATTATTTAAAGTCCCAATAGCCACAAATAGGGTCTCTCAGCCAAAACAAATTAAAGGGGCCATAGTCACAGGGCAAAAGGCTGGCAAGTAGTCCTCTCCAAAGCCCAGTGGCGAAGTGGATTTTGTCACAACTTATATTGCCAGTTAAACTTTGTATCCTTCCTGAGGGATGTAACGGTACAGTATTGCAGACAATCCTTAAAGCGGCCCCTTTTATTGCCTGGGGACCATGCAGAACTTGCAAAAACCATCTACAGTGGCCAAGGGGTAGGTATAGGTGAGATTTACTTACCTGAAACTGTCCCCCACAGGCCACTGCAATCTTCTTCCGGTGGGTCCTCTTCAGCCTGACGTCACTGCTGTACCTGTATGCTGCCGCATGCTTTGCAACACAGCGGGATGCTCCATACGTAGATAAAACCAATTCCCTCCTATAGTTACTTGTGAGGGCTGGGGGATTGACACTTATAGACACTGGGCAAAGCTACAGTCGTGTAGAAGAGTCAGGCATACAAAATATGTAGAGATAAAGTAGTCCCTACTTTGTCTGATTATATCTCTTGGCTAGATTGGAATTTCAGTGAGAATGAATATTTCACAAAGATTCTATCTTTATGAAATACTTGTGGGGGGTAGGGGGAGGGGGGGGGCGGTTACACACACAGTGCTGCTGTACAGGAACACAATAGTGTTAGGAATACAAACCTGTATTACTAACTCTTTAGGATTGTACTCCCCTTGCAATGTGTCATATAAAAATAATTTAGAATGTTTTTGTTTTTAGGCATGTCCTCCCCTGATGTGGTCCCATCAAATTTCAATTCCTTTGGGGGCTTTTGCGTTGCATGACTAGGTTTTACTCGGTCAGTGGCTGTCATTGTAACAGCCTTTGGAGGTGTGCATAAGCCTTCAAGGTAAAAAAATGTTTCTGTAAAACTGCAATGTTTTTTCCTTGAAGGGTTAAATTGACGGGACCAATTCACTGAGATGAAGGGACCTGAGCGGTTTTAGTGGTCCTTTAATTCAACCTTTTTTTTTTTTATTTTTTTTTTTTTATACATGGTGTAATTCCCATGTAGGTTATTGAAGATCATAATCTGCAATAATTTGCTTCCAAGAATGGCTAGGACTTCATCCATCTCTGATGGAAGCATCTTGTGATCCACACACTGATTAGCTCCTGGTGATTTGTGTTGTGGGATTTCAGAGAACTGTCTTCAATTTGGATTCACTTGTACGCAGACACACTGCTAGATGATGGGATATTATCCGGTCCCTCTGAGACTAATATATGCACAATGAAGCTTGAGAGACTGTTTTGTTGTAAGCTGGCCTTGCTGTACTTGGCTTCCCATTCCTGAGCAGTTACTCACTTTGTGAGTGGATGAGGTTACAGAATATTAGGTTACAGCTTATAGTGGTGCGTAATGAGATTTCTGGGCATGAAGACACTGGGGCTCTGTTTCACTTTTAGCGGCTGGATCTGTGCTGCTCAGTACAGCTGTTTGAAGAATTGGAGTGAGTTGCAGACATTCCCTTTTAGAAACGGCTTCATGTACCCTTAGTGAACTTGTGAATGATAACTCTTATGAACCGGCTAGGCTCCTTGTTTAGCAAGCAATGAGTTCATTCTGCGGGGATGCAAACTTGTTTCTCATAGAGGTTTTTTGTTTTTATTTTGCAGAAATGAGCAATGTCTATTCTGGCTGGTTTATAGAGGTCCCTGTGTGGTGCTAGTGTTGTCAAGATGCAGCGAGTGCCAACATGTAGGGAATGTTAAAACTTTTCTGTCTTGGACTTGGCAGGCTCCACATCATTTCTCCTGCGATAGGAACAGACCCTCAGGGCTGTATTACACTGAAAGCTGTGGAATTTGATCCTACAATAACTGCCTTCTAACCCATTCTATGAGAATTCTGCTAACATTCCGTTAATTTTCTCTGCATGTAATATCTCCATGTCAGAGTGTTGTGGGAGGCCACAGGTTAATCATGGAATTTCAGATTCATCTTTTAAAGTGAAAGGATTCTTCATGGTATGTTTATGCTTTCTTTTGACCCATACCAGTTATTTTTGTAAACTAGCTGCGACCAAGCTTTAGAAAGCAGTTGAATTTATGCTGTAAGAGAGACAGCTCAGAAGTACAGTTAAATAGCTTTTGTATTTTATTTTTGGTTATTGCCTATTGTTAAGATGCAGTTTAGTTGTTTATTGGGTCACATTGTAAAGAACATATCTATACAGCAGTTGATTCATATGCATTGTAAAAAATATTAAAGGAAATAAGTAAAAGTTACTTTCCTTTAAAGCTGGGGTGCCTTATAGGTAGATCCCCAGATGTTTTAAAACTACAGCTTCAATGATACTGTGTCATTGTAAAAGCATTCCAAAGATAAGCAAAGCATCAAGGGAGTTGTAGTTCTATAACATCTACCTTTTGGGCACAATGAAATGGTTATGAGGCATGGAGATTCTGGACACCATCTTACCTTATGGGGTCAAACTGTTTTTAATTGGTGTAACCTAAAAGTCTCCTGATGGCACCCATCCATTTGGACCTGCCACTAGTGGGGAATGTTCCCTTGGGTGCTGGTGATCTTGGCCGATAACTGGCTATCCAAAAAGAGAAATGCTTTGGAAAGGTACATTCAAAACACCTGGAATGATGATGCTGTGCACTGATAATTGGTGTGATCGAGAAGCTTTTCTGTGAGAAACATTCAATTAGCGGAGCCAAAACTTAACTACAAAAGCAACAGGTTACAAAAAGATCATGCCTGTTTGAGCAGTCAGCCCTATAAGTGACTTTGTCCTTCTAATTGGCCTGTCTCAGCAAGCCAATTATCTTGAAGCATCTAGAATTGTTTTCAATTCTTTTACGTATATGTTAAAAAATAAAAAATACAGATCTTAGATTGATTACAAAATTTTTCTTATGGGTGTAAAATTAAAGCATTCATACTTGCATTCTGTACATTCTTAACTGTTAACAGAAGTGCCTCCTTAAGCTGCATAGAAAATATCCCAAAATTTTGCATTTCAGCAGTAAGCTTTTTAGGAACTCTGGGTGGATGAGTCAATATGAGTTATGCCTGAGTAGCTTGTGGTGAAATAGATGGTATGCGTGGTGAGATTTGCATGCCGCTACCAGGTCATGGTACCAGATCATCTATTGAAGACTGTGTGATGATGAGTAGAAGGTGTGCTTTCTTGGAAGAAGTGACAGAACTGGGCGTCAGAGAAATGTATCCTGTTGCACCACATTTCCTATTTACTGAATGTTTCCGTAGAATAAACAGATTGGGAAAGAACCATATTAATCATGTGTTGCTTAATATCTTAGTTGTTAGAAATTGTTAGCTTAAAGGCATGATTTGCAAACCAAGATTGCCAAGAATGCAGATATATTGCTTAGGCACAACTGAGAGTTGTTTAAGGCTGAATTTGCAGCAACATTTCGTGCTTTCTTATGAAATGCAAGAATAATACCTGGATTTAATGGGAAAGCAATTCAGTGCAGGTATTACAGAATTAATCTAAGGCAAACTGAGTTGCAGAAGATAATGTAATAAGACCATTGTATGTGTAATATACAACAGGCTTGTTTATCTGTGATAATGAGGATGCCAGGATTGGGTTGCACCTTTTCTGTGTCTCCTGTCTCCCTTTGCACCAAGAGAGGGTAACACACACTGTCCTACCCCATTACAATATGGATCCTTTTTGAAACGCTATTGGTTTTAGGGTAAAGAGTACGTATACAGGTTGTCTTGCTGTGATTTAATGCTGAGATTCCTAGGACCACCTATTACCCTTGCACAATTTTCTTACTCCCAGTTACCTCTCACTTCATGTGCTATAGGATAGATCTTAAAGCGTCTCTGTAACCTCACACGTGCCTTTCCTCAATTGATTCTTATTCTCTCTCTGAATCCGTTCAACTTTATTCCCCCCTTCTTAAAAGACACAAGGCAAAATACAAACTGCTTTGTCAAACGGAGGAAAAATACATAAGATAAAGAGCAGAGTTTAAGGTTAGCTCCACTTTTTTGTCAAGACTCATCTTGAGTCTCCCATGACCATTGGAGCAGAAGGAGTTTATAGAAGCATAGAATGTGACGGCAGATAAGAACCATTCGGCCCATCTAGTCTGCCTAATTTTCTAAATACTTTCATGAGCTTGCATAAATTGGGTGCTGCTGGGGCCAATTTATCAAAACCTTGATAAAAGTTTGAATAGACTGAAACGTCGACTTACATAGTGTGGATCACTGTATTTGCTCAATAAAGCAACAGTTTGGAATTCATTATAAAGACTCCAGAGTGTCCTCTGCTTGGATTTTTTTATATTTATATATAATATGTGTGTGTCTGGCACTCTACCTCAAAAATCCACAATATGAAAAATATACCAAGGTGCTCATCAGCGCTGAAGCTATATTCCAATAAAAGAGATGAACGCATTCACTGGATTCAAAATAAATTATGCTTTATAAGTTTCAAAAAGTCAACGTTTTGACCTTATGGTCTTGATAAAGATGACCGTAAGGTCGAAACGTTGACCTTTTTTTGCAACTTATAAATCACAATTTATTTGGAATCCAGTTAGTGCGTTCATCTCTTTTATTCGGATGTCCGTCTGTCATATATAGTTATAGGGTAATCTAGGAGATTCATCACTAGAGAAGTAGAAAGTGGGAGTTCATATCACCATCTGTGCTGTGAGAAATAGTGGACCCATTTCGCAGATCCTTGGTTAAAGGGCTTCTTTGAGCCTCTGCACACAATACCAGCAGTGCTGGTGGTACTTTCTTGCAATTAGAGGGTCCATTGAGTCTCACAGGATTTTTCACATAGTGTGTTTTGTTTAAGAGGGCTCCAGTAGATTTTCTTTAAAGTGGCACTGTCCCTGCCTGGCGAATTTGCAAAGTCCCCCATTGATGGCTGCCACCATCTTTGTCATGCTGCTCCTCTTTAGTTCATGGCTCTTCAGCACCAGGATCCAACGTCACTATTGTACTCTCACGCATGTGCAAAAATACACCATTGAGGTCTATGGAGGATTCCGCAAGACCACAAGATCCTTCATAGACAAAGCCAATTCTTTGCAGCTGTCGGGATTGCCCCTTGAGTCTAAGAAAGTCAGACGGAGGTGGAATATAGAGGCAAGGTAGACCCTACTTGTGCTGCTTTAACTGTGTTCCTGAAAGTATATAGCATGCATCAGTCCTCTGTATGGCTCTAGACATTGTAAACTTGTTTCAAAAGGGTTCTCCTTAACCTCTTGTCTCTTCTTCACATTTGTAATAGTTTGCAGATGTTTGCTGTTTTTTTATTCCTCCTTTGTAAAATCGTTGAGTGCTGCACAATATGTTCGTGTTCTAAAAATGCTGATAATCCACAGTATTGTTTCTATTGTACTGTCTCCATAGTCACATCTATGTCACACAGATCACATAGAACAAGCATCAGTCACCATCATTTTCCCCAGATCACTAACCGTATCCTTTGTCACAATCTCTCACACACAGTACAGAACATCCAGCAATAACCCTGGTCATGCTAACATCACACACTAACCAAGTGGGCAGAGACAAAGCACAGAGTATTGCTGTAAGTCAAACAAACAGAAGTATGCAATTGACTTTAATTCACTCCATATGATCACGAACATACCACAACAAGAGGATATAGTCTTAAATTAGAGGGGCAATGGTTTAAAAATATTTTCAGGAAGTATTACTTTACTGAGATGGTAGTGGATGCATTGAATAGCATTCCAGCAGAAGTAGTAGAGGTTATCACAGTAAAGGAGTTTCGTCATGCGTGGGATAGGCATAAGGCTAACTATAAGTTTAGGCCAGGGACTAATAAAAGTATTTAGAAAATTGAGCAGACCAGATGGGCCGAATGGTTCTTATCTGCTGTCATATTCTATGTTTCTTTGAATTAAGCTATTGTATGCCTTTGTATTTTTCTGGACAGTAGTTTAAGTATAAATTGATTGTATCACAGGCACTGTTCTTTTCACTGCCTTAGTCTGAACCAAATAATTTGTCAGCAAATATCCTACTGCTTGGGCACACGCCAGATCTGGCCACAGTCATACAAACGCTCACTCACACCTTCCCCCTTCATTTTTGTCAGGATGAAAGCAGCTAGGCATTTCCTGGGTGTGTATCCAGCTGATGGCCTTTAACCTTTGCTTTATGCCTTTACTGTCTCAGCGGTACTGTAATACAAGCACTGTATGTAGTCTGACTGATCAGGAAATGACTGGGTGTTACTCATTGGATCAGATTTACACTGTTCTATTAATTTTACTTCTCAGACCTGCCCTATATATCCTGTTTATTTTCGTTAGTTTTTATATTATAGACAGTACATCTCCCCTGTAAATAGAGGATAAGATAAAGTAATAATGGAGCAGGGTTTATAACAGTTTTAAAGGGACATTATAGGCACCCAGACTACTTCAGCTCATTTAAGTGGTCTGGGTGCACTGTTCCGGGTTGCTCAACCCTGCAAAGCTAATTATTGCAGTTTTTAAGAAACTGCAATAAATACCTGCCCAGGTTAACTCCACCTCTACTGGCTGTCTACCAGACAGACAGTAGAAGGACTTCCAGGTTGTTGCTATGCATGAGGACATCCAGCGTCACCCAAAACACCATAGGAAAGCACTGTATAATGCTTTTCAACGGGGTAAGTCCTAATGCGATCAGCGCGCATGAGCATTAGGTCCCACAGCCTGCTGACGTCGGCAGGGGAGGAGTGGATGCAGAGCCTGAACCAGCGCAGTGGGACATCCGCACTGAAATTTGTTAAAGGACCATTATAGTGCCAGGAAAACATACTCGTTTTTCTGGCACTATAGTGCCCTGAGGGTGCCCCCACCCTCAGGGTCCCCCTCCCGCCCGGCTCTGGGGTTACTTTTTTTCCAGTGCTGGGCGGAGAGCTCTCCTCCCATCCTCCTCTTCTCCTCTCCCCGCCGGCTGAATGCGCACGCTGCAAGAGCTGCGCTGCATTCAGCCGGTCACATAGGAAAGCATTTATAATGCTTTCCTATGGACTGGCGCAGCTCACTGTGAAAATCACAGTGAGAATCACGCAAGCGCCTCTAGTGGCTGTCAATGAGACAGCCACTAGAGGAAATAGGGGAAGGCTTAAAGGACCACTCTAGGCACCCAGACCACTTCAGCTTAATGAAGTGGTCTGGGTGCCAGGTCCAGCTAGGGTTAACCCAAACTGCTATGTTTATGAATGGGTTAAGCCTTCCCCCTAATCCTCTAGTGGCTGTCTCATTGACAGCCACTAGAGGTGCTTGCGTGCTTCTCATTGTGATTTTTTGACCGGCTGAATGCGCGCGCAGCTCTTGCCGCGCGTGCGCATTCAGCCGACGGGGAGGAGGATCGGAGGAGGAGAGCTCTCCGCCCAGCGCTGGAAAAAGGTAAGTTTTAACCCCTTTCCTCTCCCCAGAGCCCGGCGGGAGGGGGTCCTTGAGGGTGGGGGCACCCTCAGGGCACTATAGTGCCAGGAAAACGAATATGTTTTCCTGGCACTATAGTGGTCCTTTAACCCATTCACAAACATAGCAGTTTCTCTGAAACTGCTATGTTTATGAAAAAATGGGTTAACCCTAGAAGGACCTGGCACCCAGACCACTTCATTATGCTGAAGTGGTCTGGGTGCCTAGAGTGGTCCTTTAAGTGACATACAGTTTTTAATCCCTTTAGCACTTTCAGGACGTGGCCACGAGGGAGCTACAGTTCCAGGAAAACAACTTTGTTTTTCTGGCACTATAGCTTCCCTTTAACTTTAACTTGCAAAACTGGACTCTAAACAAGAGATGTTGTACTTTCTTTTATAGAAACTGTAGATGCTAGCTCTCTGTGTGGAATTTTTTCCTAGTGTAAAATTGTAGCAATTTTAATTGTGTGGAACTAATCATTGGCTTCTTTCTTTTCTGAATCATCCATCCCCAGGATCCTACAGATCCATATTGTAACGCTGTTTCTTAACAAACACTACCACTATGGTTAGCTGCCCTAGGCCAGTCAAAGCTTTACACCCCCTCCCCTATACAAACTTACACACACACTTATGCATATCAACATACACTCACAGTTACATACATTGAAAGATATCTGCAAACCTACAGTAATTCACATGCATACAGATTAATATAGTCACATATACACACATGCACAAACATACAAACATGGTCATGCATATTCACAGAATACTGTGTAAAACTGAAAAAAAATAGGCCCAGGCTTTTTAATAGAGCATATGACTTGGGCATGTTTCGGTCGTGATCTGTAAACTTTATTTATGCTTTGGTAAAGGTCACAGTTAGTGATTAGTGACGAAAACATTGCCTGGGTGATGTGCTCCAGTAGTAAGGTTGTTTATGTGGAGTGCTTGGACATAATTTGTTATGCATAGTATTAGTTAGCAGTTGGGGGGTCACCTCCGCTGTGTGGAGAACCGCAGTTTTGATGTATAGAACATGCCCCTGCAGTCTCACTGCTCAGTTCTCTACCATTTAGGAGTTAAATTACTTTGTTTATGAACCCTAGTCACACCTCCCTGCATGTGACTTGCACAACTTTCCTAAACACTTCCTGTAAAGAGTCCTCTAAAGTTTATCCTTTCTTTATTTCTTTAAGTTCTGTTTAATTTAGATTCGTATCCCCTTGCTAGACCCTGCAAGAGCGTCCTGTATGTGATTTTAAAGTTCAATTTACAGAGCAAGAGATAAAATTGTTTAAGGTAAATTACATCTCATTGAAAGTGAAACCATTTTTTTTTTCTTTTTTTTTTTTTTTCTGCAGGCTGTATCAATTAGAGCCAGGGTAGGTGTGGCAAGGGCTGCATAAACAGAAACAAAGTAATTTTACTCCTAAATCTAAGGCATGATCTATACACTAAAACTGCTTAAAGGACCACTATAGTGCCAGGAAAACATACTTGTTTTCCTGGCACTATAGTGCCCTGAGGGTGCCCCCACCCTCAGGGTCCCCCTCCCGCCCGGCTCTGGAAAGAGGAAAAGGGGTAAAACTTACCTTTTTCCAGCGCTGGGCGGGGAGCTCTCTGCCTCCGTTCCTCCCCGTCGGCTGAACACGCAAGCGTGGCCAGAGCTGCGCGCGCATTCAGCCGGTCGCATAGGAAAGCATTATCAATACTTTCCTATGGACGCATGCGTGCTCTCACTGTGATTTTTCACAGTGAGAATCACGCAAGCGCCCCTAGCAGCTGTCAATGAGACAGCCGCTAGAGGCTTTGGGGGAAGGCTTAACCCATTTATAAACATAGCAGTTTCTCTGAAACTGCTATGTTTATAAAAAAAAAATGGGTTAACCCTAGCTGGACCTGGCACCCAGACCACTTCATTAAGCTGAAGTGGTCTGGGTGCCTAGAGTGGTCCTTTAATTAAAGGGACACTATAGTCACCAGAACAACTACAACTTATTGAATTTGTTCTGGTGAGTAGAATCATTACCTTCAGGCTTTTTGCTGTAAACACGGTCTTTTCAGAGAAAATGCAGTATTTACATTACAGCCTAGTGATAACTTCACTGGTCACTCCTCAGATGTCTGTTAGAGATCCTTCCTGGGTCCTGGCTGCCTAAAATGCATCCAAACATTCAGTGTCTCCTCCCTCTGCATGCAGACACTGAACTTTCCTCATAGAGATTCATTGATTCAATTTATCTCTATAAGAAGATGCTGATTGGCCAGGGCTGTGTTTGAATCATGCTGGCTCTGCCCCTGATCTGCCTCCTTGTCAGTCTCAGCCAATCCTATGGGGAAGCATTGTGATTGGATCAGGCTACCACTTCTGATGTCAGCAGACAGCTTGTTTTTTTGAGGCAAACAGCATGCAGATTTACAGCTTCAGGCTTGAATACAGTAAGATTTTGCTATATTTATGGAGGCATGAGGGGCCTGGGGGAGCTAGATGGTGGTTTTAACATTATGGGGTCAGGAATACATGTTTGTGTTCCTGACCCTATAGTGATCCTTTAAGATAGTTATTTAGGTGGCCATTGTGTTCCTTTAACCCCTTAAGGACCATACTTCTGGAATAAAAGGGAATCATGACATGCCACACATGTCATGTGTCCTTAAGGGGTTAATGCGATTTTCTGCACTGAATATATTATTTGATTGCAGTCCCCTGCATTGACTATTGTATTTAATGCACACTCCCTTTTGGTGAATAAACCTTCTACTCCTCTCCTCTATAGCTTACCTTTGTGGGTGCCGCCTAGAGAGGGGATTGGAGTAATAGCAATTTCTGGTGTCTAGTGATGATAAAGCAGGGACGTTTCCGTCTTTCTTCTCTGCAGATAGTTTACAGGCAGTGGGTGTTAGCATATCACTATCACTTGCTACCTCTGTTGGTGGTTTGAGGTTCGATTAAGCACACAGTTTTGAGAAGCAGCCACTAGTTTAAAACAAAAAGTAATAATAAAAATACTGCCACCCTGTATCTAGTCGGCCCTGCTTCCTCCCTGTTTGAACTCAATCGATTATGCGATTTCTCACTTTCTTACCATTCCATATGATTTGTCCTATTTCCCTTCTTTCAGTCTCCCAGTAGATAATGTCACTACTCACACCCATTCCATATATGATTTTTTTCCTCACACACTCTCAGTAACCTTTTCCTGTACTTCATTGAAATATTTTTGTGTATCCATAGCAATTCTCTTTACCAAACAGCGTAATACTTCCTCGCCATTCCATACCAATCCTATTTCCACGTCAGTCCCCTCTGCGCTTTTCTTCCACATTAGAGTTCCTTCACATGCTACTATTTCACATCAGCTCCCATTGTTCTTTCTTTAATTATAAGCTTGTTTGGGCATGGCCCTCTTCACTTACTGATCCCGCATTTCATACAAGTTGTGTAAGAATTAAATGTTGTTACATTGTTTAGATTTTGTACAGCGTTGCAGAATATGTCGGCGCTATAATAAATCATTTAAATTCAACACTGGCTGTGCCCCTCATGATCTGTCACAATAAACTTTCTATTTCCATGTCAGGTTTTCCTTCTTTCTGCTTTGGTAAAGTATCATATCATCATGCCTCTAAGACCTGGAAATAGCACTTGTGTCCTAGGTTTTCCATTTCAGCTGCATCGTCTCTATCTCTGTGCTCTCTCTCTCTCTCTCGCTGCTGACCATTTAGGTTTCTATATTACTGTTTATTTCATTTTATGTTTTTCTTATGAAGCATACACGGTTTGGTTGTTTAGTTTTACAGGTAGTTATGTATGTTACACTTAATTGTTCTATTTTTACCACTAGGAATAGTTCAGTGCTATTTTTTGCATATTTTATGTCCACTGGAAGCACCTGGTACTATTGCAATATTTTGCTTGATGTTCTACTGTGCAAGTTTTATCCCTCTGTGAAGCTGTATATGTTATTTAACAGAATTCTAAATTCTATTATTCCTTGCTTCCCAAAATAGCAGGTTCTAGTAGGGTGAGGTTATTTAAGGTGCACCTCAGTCTCCTCTGGTTATACTCTACTCTGTCATAAGTAAATGCTAGCACAGTGTAGAAAGAATGTATAGACTCAAACCACATTGTAAACGTATATGCATTAAAGTTTTACTAGTCATCGTTTAAGTCCTTACTTGATTATAAAAATAAGCTGTTTATTAGATTATTTATAAACAAACTTGCATGAAATTTTTCCCCCTCTTCTAGATTGATAATCCGTTTATTGCAGAACATGTAGATCGCTCTCTTGCCATGGCTGGCCCTACTTCCATGACTGAGGTTATGTGTTTTAATGATCTCAGCCAATCAAATACTTTCCCATAGGAAAGCATTGGGAGGCCATTCCATTGTGCATGCGCAGGAAAATGCCAATCTATCTTCATCTCCTCATAGAGATGTGCTTAATCAGTGCTTCTCTTTTGGGAATGTTAAGCGCCTCCATGCAGAGCGTGGAGACGCTGCACACTTTGCAGGATTGACAGAAATAGCATCTCTAATGGCCCTCTGACTGCAACTAGAGGTGTTACTAGGCAGCAATGCAAACACTGCCTATTCTCTTATGTTGAGCATATTCAGGGACATTTTAGCGCTGAGATGGTGTTTTAAAGTTTTGGAATTGTAGACTGACTAGGAGGTTTTTTGTGTTTTTTTGCTGTTGACTGATTCTTGTGCTTTTTTTTTTTTTTTCATTATTTTCTACTTTCTTACTTGAAACATATTATATGCACTTTGCACACTTATCTATTAATTATTCTCATGGCTATCCTGGAATGAAAACATGCTTTTGTTGACACTGACATTTTTTTTATTTCATATTTGAAAATGTAAAACAAAATAAATGAAACCTGGGTTCTAAAACAAGTAGGTCAGCAGATACAAACAAACTTTGAGTTTTGATTAAATATAGTGATGGGACTTTGCACTTATTTATTTATTTTCTTGCTGCAGATGCTTTATTGGCTGATCTGGAATCCACTACATCTCATATTTCCAAGTGCCCTGTGTTTTTGTCAGAAGAAACCCCATATTCCTTTCCCAGTGGTGGTTATAATACATATCAGGAAATCTCTGTGTCGGCTGCTCCAGCCAGCGAGGCTCTCAATGGCACAGTCAGTGATTCATTGGATTCCTGGAAAGGCAGCTCATCTAAATACATCCAGCAGCAGGTACATTACCTATTAAATTGCAAAGTGATTTCAGGAATCTCTTTCCTTTCTTTTCAGCCATGTATGTTGTATGGAAGTGGCAAGCTTAAGGATGTGTCTCCAGAATTGAATCCAGCCTTTTATGATGAATTTCCATTAATGGGTCACTCTAAGAATCATAACCAGCTCATATTAGTGGTTACTGAGCACTTTCCTTCCGTCTCCTACAGCCAATCCTTTGCTTGTACCTCATTCATTGTGGAAGTGAAAGTCTGCATTGGTCTGTCTACTGTTGAGGTAACAGTAATGGAATAGGTACCAAAATATTAGGTGTCCAAGTAACACCACTGTACCACATTCTTGACAGGTCCTATCCTAGCAGCCTAATGCCTACTCCCTAGTTTTGGACCAATCACTGTTACAGGTGCCTATTTAAAGGAACACTATAGGATCAGGAACACCAGTGTGTATTCCTGACCCTATAGTGTTAAAACACTATTTAGGTTGCAGCCCCCCTCTTCTCCCCCCCCCACGAAATAATATATATCTATATTCATAAATATATACGTATATATCACTATATATACACCTATATATAAATGAAAATATTAAAAAAAATTATATATATATATATATATATATATATATTCACATACGTGTATGTGTGTGTGTATATATATATATATATATATATATATTAATTCTACATATATATTTATGTAATATTTTTACATAATTAGGTATCTTAATTACAATTAGCGTGACCTGCCTGACAACCCATGCCGAAAGTAAAGGGAATTTAATTTGCAAGCACTATATTTAACCCTATAACATAAAACCTGTACATGGGGGGTACTGTTCTACTCGGGAGACTTCGCTGAACACCAATATTAGTGTTTCAAAACAGTAAAATGTATTACAACGATGATATCTCCAGTAAAAGTGACGGTTTTTGCATTTTTCACACACAAACAGCACTTACACGGACGATATTGCTGTGATACTTTTTACTGTTTTGAAACACAAATATTTGTGTTCAGCGAAGTGTCCCGAGTACAACAGTACCCCTCATGTACAGGTTTTATGGTGTTTTCAAAAGTTACAGAGTCAAATATAAGGCTTGTTTAATTTTTTCACATTAAAATTCGCCAGATTGGTTACGTTGCCTTTGAGACCCTATGGTAGCCCAAGAATGAAAATTACCCCTATGATGGCATACCATTTGCAATAGTAGAGAACCTAAGGTCTTGCAAACTGGGTAAGTCCAGTCTTTTTTAGTAGCCACTTGGTCACAAACACTGGCCAAAATTGGCGTTTTTTGCATTTTTCACACACAAACAAATACTAACGCTAACTTTGGCCAGTGTTTGAGACCAAATGGCCACTAAAAAAGACTGGACATACCCCATTTGCAATACCTTGGGTTGTCTACTATTGCAAATGATATGCCATTATGGGTGTAAATTTCATTCCTGGGCTACTATAAAGTCCCAAAGGCAACGTAACCAACCTGGCGAATTTCAATTTCAAATGTAACGTGCTATATTTGACCCTGTAACGTCCCAAAACGCCATAAAACCTGTACATAGGGGGTACTGTTTTACACGTGAGACTTTGCTGAATACAAATATGTGTATTTTATTGCAGTAAAAGCAAACAGTATTAAGACATTGACAGTTAAAATGTCATGTAGAACTAAAAAAATAAAAAAAATCTTATTTTCTCCCATTTTTTTCATATTAAATTATGTTTCATAGCTAAATATTTGATATTAAATGAAAGCCCTGTTTCCCCTGAATAAAATGATATAAAATAAGGGTGGGTGCATTTAATATGAAAGAGGTGAATTACGGTTGGACAGACATGTAGCGCAAATGCCAGATTTTGTTTACATTTTGTTTCGTTCACAACGTGTACATTTGGCTCAGTCCTTAAGGGGTTAATTCTTCCACTGGGTAAGTTTATTAGTTCTTAGGCAATACTGTGCTTCGGCACTTCGACATTTCGGAAATTCGGTGACTTCGGCAATTCATCTATTCGGACATTCGGAAGTACCCAAATGTCCGAATTACCCAAAAGTACTACAAAGATGGTGACTAGTCTCGATGTTCCCAGGAGTGGCTCAAAGATAAATTTGCTGGGAGAGAAAATAGAACACACAAACACAACCTCAATATGAACACTGATAAGGCACTTTGTGCAATGAAAATGGCAGCAGGCACCTAAAAATAAAATTCAGTCTAATTCTAGAGTGTAACATTTCAAAATGTGAAAATGCTCAAGTGGTGTTAATACTTGGCACTGTTTCCTTTCATTGTGAATACTTAGTACATAACTTATCTGTTTGTCATTTAATTTCTTTATGAACTTTTCATTTCGTAAAATATTTTTCTAATCCGTCCGGCATACACAATAGAAACTAGGGACAAATGTGAAACACAATATTTGTATTTTAGCAACATACACGAAATCTGCTTTTCCAATAATTACATGGAATGATGGTTATAAATAGATATATAATTTTTACCACTGCCATCTCTGCTGGTCAGAAGATGTGGCTTTTAAGATATCCTTACCAAAACTTAAGATGCCTTATGTGGTTACTTTGTTTAGGTGAAAGGTAGCAATGTTAAATATTCTATTGATAAACAACTTGGTGTCCTGTCCAGAAGTAAATGGGAGGGGAGAGGGGGGGACGAGAGGGCAGGGGGAATGGGGTGTATTTACCAATGCTGTACTGGCGACTTATGGGGAAATTCAGGATGCTTCTACCCGCACTCAGAATTTTCTTCAACAGATCCGTATACACTCCAGTCTGTGCATAGGGCACTAAAAAAGTACAGCACAGCAAATACAATAGTTAACTTTTAGTTAGGCATTTGGTTGTGCTAAACATTTAGGAAGGGATAGTTACTCCAAACTAAAAAAAAAAAAGGGTTCTCTCTCCACAATGTACTGTTTCACTAACATATATAACCTTAATGAAATACTGATTGTCTGTGTTGGAATTTCATTGATACCGTTTCAAGATACCGTTAGACAAAGTACTACTTTGTCTTTTGGTAAAGGCTGATGTTGACATGAGTCAGAGCTGTACTGTCAACTTTTGTCAAATCCCTGCAGATGTCACAAATGACAGCTGTGGAATTCTGGCTCTCTATGGAGGGTCCCATGGGATCTCAGTGTTGCATGTGTGAGAGTACAGCACTGACGTAGCTACTGGCAACTGAAGCATCAGAAGTAAAAATGGACATGCAGCATATAAGATGGGGGCCATGAGGGACAATACTTAAAAGCTGAATATAATGCATAGTTTAGACATGTTCTGGTAGTTATTTTCAGGTGAAAGTGACTGCAGGACACACATTTTTTTGGGCAGTTGTAACAGTCTTAGTGTTGGCTGCCTGTGTTGTTTTGCCATGTGACAGTCTTCTTTTGCTGTGTTTCAGACGCCTCTGTACAGCTCCTCTGCCTCCAAGGAGGCTGTGGGATCTCCCAGCACCGGAGAAGAGGAACATGTGTACAGGTATGTTGTAACACCTGCTTAACATAACCACTTCCTCTCTAAACTGCAACTGAAGAGTATATATTTTGTACCACTTCCTGCCACCAATCTAATATTTTTGTCTGCTGCAGTTTCCCCAACAAGCAGAGATCTGCAGAGCCATCGCCCACCGTCATGAGCTCATCTCTCGGCAACAACTTGTCTGAGCTGGACCGTCTTCTCCTGGAACTAAATGCTGTGCAGCAAACCCCATCCAGCAGCCTGTCTGCAGGTTAGTAATGACTACACAATTCTTCAATTTAACTGTAAAAACTATTCCTTGTTTCCTGATAGTGGTAAATGTGTTTGATATCTGTGTGTTGCATTTTTTGATAATTGTGGTACATTTCACCCACATTTTATAGTCTTTCAGTCTTAAATTTTCAGATTTAAATAGCCCTTCCAAGGTGGAGGCTTTCCTACCAATGTGGAAACCTATATTACAGATAAGGCAAGGTGCCTCATAATTTAAAAAAATTCAGGGCTGGTCAGGGAATATTTGCCACAAATGACCCATAGCTTATATCTGTGCCCTGGGCATCTTTCTGCCAAAAACTTAGAGTGCGTGTCTAGTTTCTTCCATGCACCGCTGTCATTCATCTGTTAGTAGGAGCCTGTCACATAAAAAATCATCTTCAGGTAGCTAGATATTGTATGGTAGATAGAGGTCAAGCACACAGGTATTTAAAGTTACACTGCTATATTGTGGGTTTTACAGGACTGAATTCTCTAATGTAAACTCTCCAAAGGGAGTGTGTCTCTTTGCACATGTCTCTTTGCATTTATTTTTATTCTAACAGGTGCTGTAAGTCCAGCATATTTTTATAATCTAGTTTTCTTCCTCACAGATGATCTGAGCAGAACCCTAGCTGAACCCACAGTGCCTGCAACTCTCTATAGTGCCTCAGACAGCTCAGTGTCTGCAAGTATGAAGAATGTGCCAGCCACAAAAGAAAAGCCCAAACGTAATGGTGCCCGTGGGATCGAGGATGTCCGTCCTAGTGTGGAGTCTCTTCTAGATGAGTTAGAAAGCTCTGTGCCCAGTCCAGTGTAAGTTTCTCCTTACTTAGTCTCAGTATTGTTTAGGGATCGACCGATTATCGGTTTTACCGATATAATCGGCCGATATTCGGTATTTTCGGCAATATCGGTATCGGCCAATTCAGATACCGATATTGCCGATAATACCTCCTAGGACCGCCAGGCTCATTACAAGCCCAGCGGTCCTGGGGGGGCAGAGCGCAAGCGCTTACTCACCTCCCAGCAGCTCCTCCAGCTCCCCAGTGTAACTCTCGCGAGACCCGCGGCCGTCAGAGCGTTGCCATGGATCACCATGGCAACGCTCCGCGCGACACGCTGGCCGCGAGAGTTGCACTGGGGAGCTGCTGGGAGGTGAGTAAGCGCTTGCTCTCCGCCCCCCCCAGCTCAGCCAATACCACTGGACCACCAGGGACTGTCATATACCTGGCCAGGTAACAAGCAGGGAGGGGGGACAAAAAATAATAATTAAATATATATATAAAAAAATAATTTAATAAAAAATTCCCCCTCACACACTCCATTATATACACAGACACTACACAAACACACTGTGTATATAATGCAGTGTGTGTTTGTATAGTGTGTGTTTGTATACAATGCACACAAATACACTGCATTATATACACACACTATACAAACACACTCTAACTGCATTATATACACACACACAAACTGCATTATATACACACACTATACAAACACACACAAACTGCATTATATACACACACTATACAAACACACACAAACTGCATTATATACACACACTATACAAACACACACAAACTGCATTATATACACACACTATACAAACACACTGTGTATATAATGCAGTGTGTTTGTGTAGTGTGTGTATATAATGCAGTGTATTTGTGTAGTGTGTGTATATAATGCAGTGTATTTGTGTAGTGTGTGTATATAATGCAGTGTATTTGTGTAGTGTGTGTATATAATGCAGTGTATTTGTGTAGTGTGTGTATATAATGCAGTGTATTTGTGTAGTGTGTGTATATAATGCAGTGTATTTGTGTAGTGTGTGTATATAATGCAGTGTATTTGTGTAGTGTGTGTATATAATGCAGTGTATTTGTGTAGTGTGTTTATATAATTCAGTGTGTGTTTGTGCAGTGTGTGTTTGTGCAGTGTGTGTTTGTGCAGTGTGTGTTTGTGCAGTGTGTGTTTGTGCAGTGTGTGTATATAATGCAGTGTGTGTGTTTGTGTAGTGTTTATATAATGTAGTGTGTGTATATAATGCAGTGTGTTTGCATAGTGTGTGTATATAATGCAGTGTATTTGCGTAGTGTGTTTATATAATGCACACTACACAAACACACTGCATTATATACACACACTATACAAACACACACTACATTCACTATACACACACTACACAAATACACACACACTCTGCATTCATTATATGCACACACACTTTGCATTTAGTATATACAGCATTCACTTTACGCACACTACCCACACACTACACAAACACTCTGCTTTCATTATATACACACTACACTAATACACACTGCATCCACTACACACACTAAACAAATACACACTGCATCCACTACACAAACACACATTGCATCCTCCACACACACTACACAAACACACACTGCATCCACAACCCACACACTACACAAACACACACTGCATCCACAACCCACACACTACACAAACACACACTGCATCCACTACACACACACAAAGACACACACTGCATACACTACACACACACTACACAAAGACACACACTGCATCCACTACACACACACACACACACACAGCTCCCCTGTCACACTGCATCCACTACACGTGGCATGTATATTTTGTGCATTTACCTTTAGAAATAGTTTTTATTTTCCAAAATGGTAAATGTACAGAATATCGGCAAATTATATCGGCTATCGGCCTGAAAGTTCACAGAATATCGGTATCGGTATCGGCTCTAAAAAATCAATATCGGTCGATCCCTAGTATTGTTACACTTGGGTGTTTGACCCATGGCTGCTGTTTACATACAGCCTGGATCACAATATAGTGAATCGGTCTGTTATGTGCTGCTCCTAGAACCATTTATATTGCGCATGCACCATGCACAATCCACACAGACTAAATTGGAAAGATTACCCAGAACTAAGTGGTCCAGGCTGCCTGATTGATAGTCCCGTTGGGAGTTCTTGTAGTGGCATAATGTCAATGGTGTTGTTTTTTGTTTGTTGTTTTTAAACACACAAATTCCTAGCGTTATAAACCACTCTCAGAACTGAGAGTGGACTCAGGAAATTCTAACCACCATATACTTTGCAGTAACGCAAATATGTTATGATGCTTATACTGACCTTTTAACTGTGAGCACATTAGGTCACAGTTGTTTAATCCTGCTTATTATGTCTGTCCTGCAGTCCATCGATAACCGTGCCGCTGGGTGAGATGAACAACCCGCAGCGAGTCACTTCTAGTCAGCAGCAAACCCGAATCTCTGCTTCCTCTGCTACACGTGAGCTTGATGAGCTGATGGCCTCTCTGTCTGATTTCAAGGTAGATCATATTGACACTATGCAATACTCTGTCTTAACACACTTCTTAAGTGTTTCTTTCCCACAAGCATACCATATGTATTACATTTTTGTTTATCAGATCTATTGTTTCTGTTCCAAAGCTCTTGTTCCATGAACATCTTTCACATCCAGAAAAAAATATGCACACACCCATCTATGATGGTATGTCTCCTGTGAACCTTGGGTCTTTCATTTCCTGGAGATGTGACAGACAAGCAGAATCAGAGAATTGCACTCTGAAAGCCAAGCCTACTAAAAAGTGATGGGCATTGGAGACAGGAGTGTGTAAGGCACAAGTAAATTTAGTGTATTCTAAGAGTGAAGGCTGGCCACATGGAATCTTAATTAGTCTCTGTCCATTATTAGCAGCATTCTGTGTAAGGTTCACTTTGTCTGCTTTTTTTTTTTTTTTTTTTTGTGTCGTTGCAATACATTCTGGTGGGAATAGCTGTATAGCATAGTACATACATGGCACAATCGAGTATAAGAATACATTGTGTAGTGCGGTTCGTACCTTATTGTCTACATTGTCACAAGCTGAAATGTACTGTTATTGATGACACTTTTTGACATTGTCGCATCATCACATTAAACCATTAACCAGTTAACTGCGCGGAGGAGCAGGGGCCCCGGCCCGACACCTCGTTGATTTTGTCGCTTTCAGCTTGTGGTGAATGGTGTCGACACGAGGCACTTTGTCTGCTTTTTTGTTACTCTGTTACAGTTTTTAGAACTGGACTTTGCAACATAAATCAGTATGTGTGTTCCTACACAGGAGACTCTCTATTTTTCCATACGTCCATGCGGCAGTCATCACAAATTGTTAGTTGCCCCTTTCCTCTCAAGGAGCAGGTAGAGTTGAAAAGGTTAATAAACTGAAAAATGCACACTCCAGTCCCATTTTCCTCCTCCTCCTAGAAACGGTTTTCTGTAAGTCACATGTTTTATTATTAATTTCTTCAGATATGCTGTGATTCATTTCACCCATCCTGTAGAAGAGCACTTTGGGGGGTAATGAAACCATATTGGAATGAAATTGATTAAGTACATATAACGTTATACAATGCAATGCATTAAGCATTCATATAACGAAAACTTTGTACAGCAGAATATACAGAAATTAGCAATAAAAGAAACAAGCACATTTAACACCGTTAATGATCAATAAATCCAAATATACAATATGTTTTACTTTTTTCTTTCAAACGGAGATGGGATGCTTTTGTTTCATATTCAGGATAACAGCATGGTTTTATATTAACCAACTCTAATTGTTGTTCCTGCAGCATTATAAAATCATACATGGGTTGAAGAAAAACACTGTTAAGAGTGCAGGAGTTGTATATATCCTGTCACATCTTACCTGTACTTGAACATACTATCCCTCCTTTCCATTTACAAAGCTTTGCAGAAACAAAAATTGAGCAATACATATCCTTTTATGTTTATATATAATAGCAATACTAATCTACAACCTATACAAGTTAAATATTAAAATCTCAATACGAGTAAAAGTTGCAGTGTATGTATCTTCTATAATATGAACCAAAGTGTATAGATATGTAAAAACAAAACTAACTAGCAGTATATACAATGTATGTTTAAAAGTCACAATATAAGTGAGAATTATAAGTGCATGGATAGTCTATATGGGTGAACAAAATCACAGTGCAATGTGAGCCAAAGTGTACCTATATTCAAAGAAAAATAGTCCCAAAAATAGTAACTGAAGAATGTAGTAAATATGTTAGACTTAACAGTGATATTGTAGTGGATGGTGCAGAAGGAAACATTCTTAAAAAAAAATTAAAAAATTAATATATATTAATGTATACTATATGTGTGTGTATATATACATACACACACACATATAGTATAATACTGTTGGATATAAGCAGGTAAAAATGTGTATGGAGGTTACCCACATGATAAATCCAGTACATTCATGGAATGAGGAGAGATGTCACTCAATATAATTGAATTAATTGAGGTGTTTTTTAATTAGATACTTTAAAATAAAATCTGCAAAAAATCCATATAAAAGGGAATAAATTTCACTAATCAGAGGGTTCGGAAGTGTGGATTCAAGCCACTCCTCCAAACCCTTTGGGTTGAGAGACGGGAATCTTGCTTCCTGACTATGGTGACATCACTCGCATATGCTCAGTGCCGTCATGGTCTTCCACGGAGAATCATTGCATTCAGTGATTCAATGACAGAATCGTAGGTGCATTGCGATGAGCGCGGTGCCTGCTTCTAAGGTCTCTAATACTCCTCTGAGGAGCATTGGATGATCCGTCATCCTTGAGGCACACACCCATGATGATGGAGAGGAGATTGTGGCAGTGCTGAGGGAGACTCGGCGCTGTTGAAAAGGTGAGTAATTTGTTTGATTTGAATTATTTAGGTTGATTTTAATTTTTTTAACTCCTAGAGGGGACCTAATTGAAAAGGGTCATCAGGGCTGTAGCGTTAGGAATACATGTGTATTACTAACGCTACAGTGTTTCTTTATGGGCATGGTAGCCGAACTGAAAACATAGCTAACTTTTTTTCAGCTTGGCTATTTTGGCCTTAAGTGTGTAATTCACTTTGAATTCCTGACAATTTTCACTCTAGTGAATACAAGAATCACTCTGTGTGTATGTTTTGTTACAACCTTCTCCTCTAAACTGTTGCACTATGTTGGTCCATGTAACTGTTCCTCTACTGTGCCTGAACCTGTGGTGTCAGTGTGAGGGACTGGAACTGATTAATACAAATGCTGCATACCATAGATGTTTACCAGTTTTTACAAATCATGGTTTGTCTCATTTTACATGAGTAGGCTACTGCCCTGTTTTGTGGGAAAACTGAATCTTTGTGCTATATGACATACCATACCATGTCTGACACTGAAAAATTGTGTGTGTACATTGTTCATGGATTCACTGAGACCTTTGCTTCTTGTGAGTTTTATCCAAAATTATTGAATTAATGGAACATTATAGTATTATGAATAAAACATGTATTCTTAATGCTACAGTGTTCCACTATTTATTTAGGTGATCACCCTCATGTGTTGTAAAAAATGCATTTTTGCTTTTAGCTCTCACCATGCCAGCATTCAGAAAGCATTGGGAGGAGTGTGTGCATACACAACAAATTTTGTTACAGCATCTCAGAATAGAAATGCATTGATTCCATTCTGAATGTCTTTTTTGCAATGTTTGACCCAAGGAAGTCCCACTAATGACTGTCTGAGGGACTTGGCCAGCAGTGTAAATCATTCTTGTTACTAACCCTGCAGGGACCAGCTATAAGGCCCAGAACCACTATATTAAAAGAACACAAACTTGTATCCTGGCCCTATAGTGTTAAAACCACCATATAGCCCCTCATGCCTCCCTAAATAAAGCAAAATCTTACTTGTATTCAAGCCTGAAGCTGTAGCTCTGCATGCTGTTTGCCTCATAATAGCAAGCTGTCTGCTGACATCAGAAGTGGTAGCCTGATCCAATCACAATGCTTCCCCATAGGATTGGCTGAGACTGACAAAGAGGCAGATCAGGGGCAGAGCCAGCACAATTCAAACACAGCCCTGGCCAATCAGCATCTCCTCATAGAGATGAATTGAATCAATGAATCACTATGAGGAAAGTTCAGTGTCTGCATGCAGAGGGAGGAGACACTGAATGTTTGGATGCATTTTAGGCAGCCATGACCCAGGAAGGATCTCTAACAGCCGTCTTTGGAGTGGCCAGTGAAGTTATCACTAGGCTGTAATGTAAACACTGCATTTTCTCTGAAAAGACGGTGTTTACAGCAAAAAGCCTGAAGGTAATGAATGATTCTACTCACCAGAACAAATTCAATAAGCTGTCGTTGTTCTGGTGACTCTAGTGTCCCTTTAAGCTGTAATGGTTATGGAAACTATTGTGTCCTTTTAAATCCGATACAAGAGATGGAAATCTTGCAAGAAAAATGAAATAGGTGGAAACTTGTCTGCATTCTTAGGTTGGGAATCTTGGTTTACTTTTTGCAATGTTTTATTTTTTTATTTATTTTTTTTATTTTTTTAAATCATCTCAGTTCTCTCTTTAGTTTATACCAGCTGTACCTGTTCTTTTGCATTAATGAACCATCTGCCACTTCTAAATCAAGCACTGGACAAGGAGGCTTCCTAAATAGCATTATGTTGAGAGTCTTGTTCTTTCTTAGAAAGACCTGGCAATGGAACAAACATTCATTGTGCATAGCAGTAACTGATGTGGAGGGGGGGTACATGTGTTTAGCCTGGACTCTTAAAACAGTTACAATGATATAATGATCTATCTTTGACTTTCCTTTCTATCACCTCTCATGCAGACTTGCCACACCTTTTCTGAGCCAATTTATGAAGTTTGTAAAGGCAATCCTAACATGCCTACTGCCCAAAGCTCATTGTGTACAACACCTTTGTGCACAATGTTGTGCAATGGAAATGATCTCCCACCAAGCTGCAGTCCTTCAGTCCTCCTGCATATAGATGAGGAAGAGAGTTCTGCTTTAATGACTCCTCTAGACAAAGAGCCTGTCTCACTTGTTTGTAGAACAGGAGTAAAGGATGCAGGATTTGTACATGGCAGTGACCAAACTGTAAGTAGCCCTTGCAGCCCCATATACTCAAATTTTCACACGCCTTTAGCAAGCTACAGTGGTGTTCCTGGTCTCAGGAAAGAAGACCATAATGATTTTCATTTGGCATATTCACAAGAAAAGCCTACAGTTCATTCTGATCAAGTACATGATAAATATCCGTGGCAACTGCAAACTATGTTACCTGAACATGCTAACTCTGAATTTGTAAAACGTAAAGAGAATATGAGTTTGGATCTGAATAGTCTCACATCAAATGCGAAAGAATTACAGTATTCAGTTCTGGAAACTCCAGATGCTTATAAAATAAATCAAGATCAAGAGAATTTTAATTCTGAAATGGAATTACTAAGTATGCAGAATGCGGTCAGTACTGCTAATGGGGACTGTGGACATTACAGGAGTGAAAATCCTCTACTGCATACCAATACGTTTGAATCGTCTTGGACAGAGGAGACACAACAAATTCCGATTCCCGAGATGTCTTCGCGGGAAAGGATTTCTGCTTCACGACAGGCAAGCACGAAGTTTGGTTGACATCCTTCGCATGACACCAAATGCATGTCTAAATTTTACATCTGTTTCGGTCAGGTGCATGATATGTTACAGGAAATAATATCCCTTGCATAGTTTTTTGGAAGTCCTTGACCTTTAACATATCCTACTGTGTTTTCAGTAAATCTTATAGGAAGTAATACCTGTGGCATGATCGTTCAGTGTACACATTAGGTTTTTCTGTTGAAAATAGGGAAAAGTGTTCGTGTCGCTGCATTCAGTTGTTTGCCGTGGATTTTGCAGTTTTTCGACTTTCTCCTGTGAGCCCATATCCTTAATGTTATGCCTTGTTGTTCAGATGAAATCTGTTATTAAAAGGACAAAAGAAACTCCCAATGTACACCCCATGTCCCGTGATTTGTCCCCTCGGAGAAAATATGGCCCAGCCATATACAACAAAAGCCCCACTCAGGACCGTCTGATTGAAGAGCTGCATGGACGCTTTGGAATAGACAAACAGGAGACTTGCAAGAGCCCAGAGGATAACTGGCTGACAGAGGGAGTGATCATCACATCTCGGCCATCTAAAAATATGGAGCAGCCAGAACAGAGGATTGAGAAGGTAGAGCAGGAAAAAAAAATTAGGCAGATGATGTGGTGTGTTTTATGACTTGTTGTGGAAAGACTTGCCTGGAAGGTTTTGGAGCCTGTGTGTCTTGGAAGATAAGTGGGATCACTGAAGGGTATAAAATGTATGGATGCCCAAGATGCTTAAAGGAAATAATCTCACAATGCTAAGCTGTATTTTGTCAAATATAATAGAACGCTTAAAGCAAACTAACATTTTTTAATAGGAATCAATCGCACACAATAAAGTAAATTCACACCTTAATGGTTGCATTACTACTGCACTCCTAGTATTTGTGTGATTTACATAATTCTGAGATGCAGTTGGTATGCCCTCATGCAGCTTGTATGAGTAATTACGTGGATCTGTAATAGTTTCAATGATTTCCTATTGTGATACAAGTAAAAAGTGACTTACTCCTTGCTTAAATACATTTTTTTAACTTGTGTCCAAGTTTTCAAGGAACACTCCAAGCACCATAACTGCTACAGAGTGCCTTGGCACCCTCCCAAATAAAGTAATCAAACCATTATAGAACAGTTTTACTTCATATGCCTTTTGAGAAAGAAGGGATGGATACAAAAAGCCCATTCCTGACAGGCCCACTTAACTTTGAACATTTTGTGTCTACATCCCTAGAGGAGCTAGACTACTCTTCATCCAGTTCTTAAGCCGCAATATCATTCCACAATTTAGGTATTTCCTAGTTCTGTGTCTTTAAGACTGGGTTGGGAAACACTGTCTTATAATTTAGTGTTTTGGGAAAGCATTAGCATGTGTTCATTTTTAAGGAGGTAATTTTTTTCCCCTTTTACGTTCCTACCATTTTTTTTCCCTTCTCCATTTAGATAATTATACCTCCAGATTCTCCACAGCTTATGAGAAAAATATTTCCAGGCACATCTTCTGTTGGCTCAGTTGTTGGAACCAGATTAGTATCTAAGTCGACATCTCCAGCACAGCCACCTTCTTTCCTCCCTCCTCCAGCACCTCCATTGCCCCCTCTATCAACTCCATTCCGTTCCCATGCCTTTAGTACATTTCCCCCTCAGCCCTGGACCTCCAGAAAAAGATATAGTGATGATTACCAGGATTTGTCTCAGACTGTCCCAGCTCAGGAAGACCACGTACAACCTCCTCATGAACAGATTCCCGCTGGCTGGTTCTATACTACCTCTTCTGTGAGATCTTTGCCTCACCGCAAAACCTGTGTCTCTGTTGGCTGCCAGACTGACGATAATCCACTATTTCCACCAATTCAGGCATGGAACTTGTTAATTGTTCAGTCCTTTGTACAACATAAATACGTTAACATTTTAGAATGGTGTTTATAACCATTACTATGCTTGATAGTGGTCGGTGGTGTATAAGTTTTGATGAGTAAGAAAGCAAAATCTAGTCTTTTAAAGGCATTTCCATTACATACTGTAGAGTGTGTCCTCTTTGAAATTCACGTTGTTAATGGCTTACATTAAAAATTAGCATGTTGGACTTTAAGCAGTAGATGAATAATGTTGCGGATTGAGAGATAAATCTGTTCCTGGACTGACAAGTCCTTCTTAGTATGCTATGTACCTTCTTTTGATAGTTCGAATGCGTCGATTTCCTACCAAACATCTGTTTTAAACCTCTTCTGTTTTCTGATCTGTATTCATTTCCTTCCAGGTGAATTCAGCTCTCACCTCTAGCGATTCTTCATTACTTGCCACTCGCCCTCCTCCAAGTCCCTCAGTCTCTGACAAGGCAGGTTTCCCAAACAGTGTATGCTGATTGGGTTGTGCTTGTTGTGCTTACATTGCCCCCTAGTGCAATGTTTAAATGTTTTTCCCATTTTCCCCATAATGTTTTGGTTTTGATTCAGTTGTCAACCATAACACGTGTAGAGATTCTACTGCAATTGTTTGTTTTGTTGTGAAATAACTTTGCATGCTGTCTATTCAGCATGTTTATAAATTTATTTTATACTGCTCATTCTAAATAATTTATTTCTCTTTATTGTGGTCTCCAGTTAGTTGGCTCCTTCTGTTCAAGTCTCCCTGGGCCAATGTCTGAACACAGAAACTTGATACCTAATGGTGATGCCATCGATGGATCTTCCATGTCTTTTGTTTTAAACACTGAATCGCCCTCGGTATTTAAAAATGTTAAGAACACCTTTTTTGAGTGCTCATATTTGTCTGGATCTTAAGTAGATGCCTCTCGGGGATGATGTCTGTATAAAAAAAATAAAATAATAAATATATATTACATATCTATTACACAAAATAATACAATTATTTTCTTGGTAAATTAGTTTTTCATTGTATTTTACATTGTGACAATTCTTGAATTTTTTTTCAGTTCATGGCAGGGAAGTCTGTGAGCAGTTCCCCTCCCTCCAACACACCCAAGCCTGGCAGCCAGCTGGATAACATGCTGGGTAGTCTGCAGTCTGACCTCAATAAGCTGGGGGTTGCAACGGTGGCCAAAGGAGTGTGTGGTGCATGCAAGAAGCCGATTGCTGGTCAGGTAAAGTATAATTTACTACTGTTGGGAAAAGCCCTTGAAGCCATCACTGGCATTTATTAAAACTGTTTCTCTGCAGGTTGTCACAGCGATGGGGAAGACTTGGCACCCTGAACACTTTGTGTGCACACACTGCCAGGAAGAGATTGGGTCCCGCAACTTCTTTGAGAGAGACGGGCAACCCTACTGTGAGAAGGATTATCACAATCTCTTCTCCCCACGCTGTTTCTACTGCAATGGGCCCATCCTGGATGTAAGTTCGAATGCTTAAACGATTGTAAAATATGTGAAGCTTAATAATTGTGTGTGTATATATTTTGTGTGATTAAAAATGGTTTACTACTTCTTTTTTTTTTTTCTTGTTTCAACAGAAAGTAGTGACTGCTTTGGATCGGACATGGCATCCGGAGCATTTCTTCTGTGCACAGTGTGGAGCTTTTTTTGGGCCGGAAGGTAAGTATCCTCGACAGGCCGGGCCTTAATCGTTGGTACCAGATGGAAATCCATATTGAATATATGTACATTCTGTAAAGCATCGGTTCACTCTGTCTTCTAGTTGTACTCACATGTGGGTGGCCTTTTTTGGGTATCCCGTGCTCTAGTTCTAATGCATTAGAAAGCACAGGAGGGATACTGTAGCACAAGGAAAGAAAGGGAAATTTGCAAATGTGCAAACATGATGTGCGTGTTCCAACCATGGAGACCCGTTGAAAATATAGTGGGCAAGTCCTTTTTGGGTTCTGTCCAAGAGTTAAGTATTGATTTTTCATGTGTAGTCCTTTTAAAATCAATAGGCAGTAGGTTTTTATTTTTATTTTTTTTTATAAAAAAAATAATTTTCTTGTAATTAAAGTGCTACTGAACATGTAGGCCATATGTACTAAATTTTCCCTTTTCTCACCACTCCCCTTATTCCCCCCTATAGGATTCCATGAGAGGGATGGAAAAGCTTACTGCCGCAAGGACTACTTTGATATGTTTGCTCCTAAGTGTGGTGGATGCACTCATGCTATCCTTGAGAACTACATCTCTGCCTTAAATACACTCTGGCACCCAGAGTGCTTTGTCTGCCGGGTATGGATCTTTTATTCAAAGCTTTATTTTTTTTTCTTGTTTCCCAACAATGTTTAAATTTTTTTGCTAGTCCCCTGTTTTTTGTTTTTTTTTACCTGTTTTAAACATAGAAACTTGCTGCTACGCTTCTTCTCACATTGTATACCGTGCACCTTGCTGCTATGCAGGCCTTTTATTTTATGCTATATGTGTTGTGAGTGTCCGCACAGTATACAGTGACTCTCGTTGCTACACTGACCCTCAAGTGCAATATACCGTGCATCTGATTGCCACGCATACTGTCTCACCATGTAGAATGTGCACCTTGCTGCTACTGCTTGCCAGTTCGCCCATATAGTATTCAAGGGAGATATTAAGGCTCCGGCTAAATAAGTGTTAGGCATCACAGTCCTGACATTCAGAGGCAAACGCAGTTAATATCATTTTAAAGGCACACTATATTCACCAGAACAACTACAACTTAATGTATTCTCTTGAATATAACATTCCCTGCAGAGAAAAGGCAGTGTTTACATTGCCCCCTAAGGATACCTCCAGTGGCACCATAGCTGTTTCGTCTCATTAAAGTGATTATAGTGTCCTTTTTTAAAAATGCTTTAATACTAAATCCTAGCAACCAATTAACTCTGTACTATTTGGGCTAATGAGGAAGCATTAGCCTGAGCAACAATGTCTGGCTGTGATTGGCTAAGACTACCGCCAATGCTGGTGTGAATCCGTATTGCTATGAGGAAGTGTGTCATCTCTGCCTTAGCCACATCTGGTGGGCTATGGACTCTCATTCAGTAGTGCTAAACATCTCAAAAACACTAAATGGAACAGTGCTATGGGACCCCAGGCACTATAACCAGTTCAATGACATTAAATAATTATAGTGCCTACTCTGTGTCCATTTTATATTTTATATATTTCACTAGCTAATATAGTACCACTACTAATACAGACTGGTATAGTAGTGTTTAACCAAGACTCTTCTTCAATCAGATATACATTGTTATATTGTGCGTTGTACAAATACGGTGTTGTTTGGTCTCTAGCTTCGGTATAAACAACCTACAATAAGAAAAAGAAATGCATAGCATGATGTTTTCTTTTACCTATACCCTACAATTCTTTTCTTTTTAACTTTCAAGGTGTAACATTTTAAATCCCTTTCCACTCAGGAATGTTTTACCCCTTTCATCAATGGGAGTTTCTTTGAACATGATGGGCAGCCATACTGTGAAGTGCATTACCACGAGCGTCGGGGTTCTCTCTGCTCCGGCTGCCAGAAGCCCATCACTGGCCGCTGCATCACCGCTATGGGAAAGAAGTTCCATCCAGAGCACTTTGTCTGTGCGTTTTGCCTGAAGCAGCTCAATAAAGGGACATTCAAGGAGCAGAACGACAAGCCCTATTGCCAGAACTGCTTTGTCAAGCTATTCTGTTAAGAGATCAATGCACTGTATCCATACATTTCATTCACCTGGGTGGGTGTGAGCAGCTCTTTTTCTGGAAGAGGGTCAACCAGGGTGATCTGGAACACTGGTGGGGAGGGAGCTTCAGTCTGTTTTTCTTTAGTGGAGAGAAAAGTTCTTCACTTATTCAATATTAATCTCTTATTAGGTGCTTCTGTAAGGGTGGGACTGCACCTGGCCAGCTCCTTGCTATTAAAGGAACATCTCGCATTGCCGGCACGAGACCCTTCATTAAAAAAGAAACCTTGAACTTCTCTCTCTTTTTTTTTTTTGGGTATAAAATCCTGCTACTGACATGACGGCACATGCTGATGGCTATTATATACCTACTAGTGAGAGAGAATTTTTTTTACTATGCAGCACATGAAGGGTCTCATGTAGACACTCCAATGCACGAGTATTTTAGTAGATTGGAAAGGAGTATGTTTTAAGCCCAACCTTGCATTTAGAAAGAAGCAAGAATGGAAATTGCACCTTTTGAGCTTTAATTATGTGGAAAGACGTTGCTGGTATAGATGGAAATGTTTAAAAATTGCAGCAATAACTTTTTTTTTTTCCTCTGACAGTTACTGGTAACTTGTCTCCTAGCTGGTGAGCATGTGATTTCTCACAGCTGACCTATTTTCTTTTTTTTTTTCTCTCCTTCACATTTCTTGCCTTTCAAATAGAAGAGCAGGATTTCTTAAAGTTTCATTAACTCATTTCATCCAATTTAATGACAAAATAAGAGATTTGTTTTATATATAAATGACATATATGCATATATTACATATAAAGCCAATTATTCCAGTGGGACTGGATTTAAATTTTCTTTTTGATTAGTGCTTTGATTAAACCTAGCTAACATTGCAGTATTTTTAGTGTGAAATTACTGTATTAACACATTTTGACCATTTGTGAATTTTGAAAACTGTATTGCAAATTTCAGTCACGTGTGGATGTTTATGCCAAAATACGGTGGTGTGTTTCTACTGACCACTCGGTCTGTAAACGGTTTTCTGTCCTTACTCCAGTTACCCGTGGTAATCTGGGAAGGCCATTTTGTATTAATGCAGTTTAATGGTAATTAGATTGGGTTCTATATTCAAACCAAAATTCTTAAGGGGAAATTATCATGGAGAAAACACAATTCTAGGTAAGCAATAGATGCTTTTATTCATTGGTGCTGCAAAAGAGCACATGAATTCATGATGAATTAGCAGCAATCACATCTAGACTGGGTTCTGTTTGCTGGCCTGCATGCGTTCTGTTTTCATAGGATTCTGTAAGGAATTACTGGGCTCTTTGTAATTTTTTATGGTTGGCTAAATCTCTCATCTTTGGTTAAATATAAAAGTAAAGAATTCAGTAAGTAACCTAGACCACATTTTGTATTTAATTACCATAACTTGCAATAAGGTGATAATTTCCCTTTAAGGTTTGGTAGTAAGGTCTTATGTTTGAGGGGGGTGTATTTTATTTTTTTTTTTCCTTGGTTTTTCTGCATGCACTGTTCCTACAAGAAAAACAACCAACATGACATTTTCATTGCTGTTTGAAATGCCAAAGATAATGCAAAAAGATAATGTGTCCAAGCTGCCTTTATCCAGGAACACTTTGCTTGGCACATAACTTCTTGTGTGGTTATTACTAAAATTAAAAAAAAAACTATATATACACATTATGTATTATAGGCGCCCCTTCTATACTGTTGTGCACTACAGTCCCTGAAACTAAACTTTACTAACATACTAATCATTTTACATTAAAGGGACACTTTACAGCAGAAACTGTAATTCAAAGCTGTATGGTAAAGTGAAAAGGCCTTCTAAGAACCAACAAACCAGCCTTTAAAGGTCCTTTAGCAAAATGCAATACCCCTCTGATTTTATGAATGCAGGGCTATAGAGCTGTGAATGCAAAACAAGGAGGGCATTCAGTTAGCAGAGTCTTTAGGGACTAGATTGCAATTCATAAGGAGTTAAAGTTGTATTGGAACATCATTTTTGGTTGTCTGTAAAGTATGTGATTGGGTTCTAAAGTTCCTTGTGCATGGGATACAGCACGCTCCCACTTGGTGCGTCACCTATTGCTCAGTATCAAGTGGCCGTGGTTTTATTATAATTAGTTTTACAACAGGGACTTTACATTTGCCAAATTTTGCTTGCAAAACCTCTGACTAAGCTGTACCTTACAGGGAATTAAGTTTGTTTGGGGACACTTTATCTATTTGTCCACCAATAACTAACTGTTCAGTCTGTATAGTGTGGGGAGCTGTGCACGTGTCCAAGTGTCATTGAAGTTATTTTAATTTTTAGTATTGCAGCAGGAAATCCAGCAATACAACATTGTATATATTGAAAGAAACACAAAACAACTTTTTCACTTTTATATCAATGTCCTTTATGGAAATTTCACAGGGGTAAGTGTTCCTTTAATGGGATTAGTGCACATCCATGCTTTGTTACTGGGTCAAAGAGTTCAGCTAACCATTTTATTGTGTATTCATAATAAATTTGTATCTTGATTACCTCATATTCTTTTACGTCTGTAGTTTAATTCAACATTTTCTTCTGTCATGCAAAGTAACCTGATGTTATGTTCTCAGAATAAGTTATCTGGTTTCTAGACTCACCAGCATTTGAAATCAAATTTGGAAATGCATAAATTGCTTAACAATAAAATAAACTAAATAGTATTTTTGCTGAAAGGCTTTTTGTTTGACAGATGTCAATTATTTTTTTTATTTTTTTTGCATCTATGAAAAAAATGTCAATACAATTTATAATGATATTGTGTTGTTTTTTTGTTTCCCCCTCCCATCTTTTTTTCTTCTATTAATGGATATGATGGTATTTGTCCATGTATTACATTTAAGACTTCTTTGGAAGGGGAGGAAGGGGGGGTGTCTGTACTGCAAATAAAGTGGGTTATTTTAGTAATATGTCCAATTTTCTTATTAAAATGCCCACCCCATTCCAGTAAATATTGCATTGTAATTTTACATTGTACTTTCAAATTTACCATCAGATATATAAACTAAATGAAACCCAGTCAAATACTAGGAGACCGGTTGCAATAACACAAAATTATACCTCTCAGGATTTCAAATGGACAAAGAGGGATACCTTAATTTTAGGGATATGAATGAAGGTGTGACCAAGGGCAGAACTGTACTGAGAAATGTTAGGTGATTTCTTAACAATTTATACAACTAAAATGTAATATAAAACAAGAACAATGTATCTTATTTACAAAGACCGAGTTGGGAATGATGACCTCGTCAGTGAGATCACTTGATCTCACTTGACGGGCTCCTACAATATGTGAGGGAGTGGGCTTGTTCCAAAGTGCACACTAAGCATCCGGGCCACAATACTTTTCTCCACAGTTACAATAACCACTTTTAGGGGCTCTTGGGACAAGTCATTGCCTGTGGGCAGGAGGCTGGCCTTCGAGGTTCTCCAAAGGTCTGTGGCACAGAAGTTTCTGTCACATACGCTTTAAAGGAAAATTCTCTGATTTTTGTAGTGGTTGTTTCTGTTTCCTACAGTGTATTTTCTCTGTACCATGGTTTAATGGCAAAGATTTATCGAGGCTATCCTCACCTTGGTACCATTCATAATATGGAATTTACACATTTTGGGTTAACATTATTCCGTTTTATCCCATCTGAATAGCTGTAATTTGGTGAAGAGTCCTGGGGCAGTTTAGCTCAATCCTGCATATGTGCACATTCTGGTGAGTGATTGCTCACAATATTAATAGAACAAGTAAGGTAGTATTCTGTAAGGACAAATAACTGTCTAATAATACCTCTGAGACCATACATATCATCATCTCCCATAACAAGCAGTTATTAGTCACTTGCTTTAATGTTTATATATGGATATTTAGAGAGAGAGACACACACAAGGAAGAACAAAATAAAACAGTCACTGCCATTCTCATGTGGAAGGCATGGCTTGACAAAAATAATTCTCAATCTCACTTAATATTCTGGAAGCTGTCTTGCCAGCCCTGGGTACCTGAGCATGTGGTGATTTCCCTGTATATGCCACTTAGAGACCACTTTCTACAGAAGAAAAGCCGTGTTCGTTAGTAACCAAAGATGGCCGTGCGTTCCACCTTGGTCCTGTTACCTAGCAATCCCCCCATGGTGGTCGCTAGGGACAATGCATTCAAGAGACTTGATAATTGAGTTTACTACAATGGATGACTCAATTATCTCCAGGCACAGAAAACATAAATTTTTACAAAAAAACCTAAATACATTTAAACACACAAAATACCCACAAAGGTTACATCCACTGATAGCCCCGATCTAGGTGACCAACATATCCAGAAATCACCCAGATCGGTTCAAAAATTTCCTGGAAGTCCTAGTTTGACCGACCGCACGCATGGTCCCATGCCCAAAACCGTTCCAGAGAATCAGGGCTTGCGGTCGGTCTAGTTCGGTAGTTCACAATATAACAAATACGAATGCAGCCAGTTCATATGTATACTTAATCTGTGTCTCTTGTTCGGGAGTGTGTTTCCATCGAAACGCTGCTCTTATCAAGTGAATCCAGTCGAACGCCATTGAGTGTCCGATTATAGTTCCATGCACTCGACGACCAAACACCGATATAGATAGATAGATATATATAGATATAGATATAGATATATATCTCTCTCTCTAGGTGTCCTGATGAAAGCTCCCTAGTGGAGCTGAAACATCGAATTTTTTTCCGCAATAAATGGAGAAGTTATCTTCTGGAAAACCTTGAGTGCCGGTATTTTCACTTTGTTTATGATTAAGCCACCAGAGCACCAGGTACTATTTTTATTTCTCTAGTTGGAGTGCAGGGGTATTTTGTATTATATATATTTATTCGCGGCTAAAGATGGCCGCCACCACGTGTTCACACATACGAACGACGGACACCCAGCTAACCACTTAGTAGGTTGCAGTTAAACATAAGTTAGGGAGGTTAATGGGCTGCACACTCCTGTTCTGGGTGGTTCAACTCTTCGGTAAGAAGTACAGTCATTTTTATAAGCCCCATATGCCAACCATAAGCAGTTAAAAGGCATGAACAAACCTTTCCACAGTCCTGAAAAAAGGTCTAATACATGGGACATAGTCCTGGGGCAAGAGGTTGGCAAGCAAGCCCCTCCAAGAACCAGTGGCGAGGTTACTTTCGCCACAACTATCATTTAAGCCACAATAACACGCCAGTTTTTCTTTTCTTCCTTAGTACACTCAGAGGAAGTACCAATTTTAGAGCAATATAAAGGGTACTTATGAATGTTACTTGCTCAAAATACAGACTTGTCCTATAGACCTATATTGACCCTTAAGAAAGTGAATCAACATTGAATAAATCTTTTCACATGTAGTCAATTATTTCAACAACTCAGATCCTGCAACAAGGTGATTGGATGGTTGCATTAGACATAAGACTCCTATCTACACATTTTACATCAAGTCTATCTAGCTTGAAGTTCTGCATTTTACCAATATCTTTACTTTCAGTTAAGAGTCTACCATTTATCTTGTCTTTAGATGCCATTATATTCATGAATGCTCTAGTTGTGGAGGCCCTCTAGAGAAGCGATTTATTGTCCTATATTTGGATGATAAAAGCATCCTCAAAAAAACTGCTGTGGAAGGATATCAACACTACGATTTTCTATTTACAAAACTGCAGCTGGATTATCATTTTGGAGAAATCTCACTTAATTCCAGTCACAAAGTTCCAATTCTTATCAGATTATACACACTTACCTTCAAAAAAATCCATTGTCCCAGAAAATAAAGAATAAGTTGAATCTTGCTTAAAGTTCCATGTCAATGTAAAGGTTTTGCGCCATCAGAGAAGCAACGAGAGCCTTGGGTCTTCAGATGTCAAGTGGGCAAAAATCAGAATGAAAAGTCTGCAATCCAGCATTCTGGCAGAGTTGGGACCACAAAGAAACTTCCTTAGACCATCTGATTCTTTTATGGGATTCGATGGTCAGCCACTTTGTTTCTCTGTCATGAACAATCTTTAAAACTTAAAGATTGGATAATAATACAACAGATGCCTCAATCTCAGGATGGGGATCTTATGTAAGTCATCACATAATGAATGGTCTGGTTAAAACCAGACAAGACAAAAATCTTTGAATTTCAGAGAATTGAAAGCTGTATGGATGGCTCTAAAAAGCTTCAGCAAGGGTATAGAATGACAGTATCTTCCGATAAGATCAAAATAGCATACACCAACAAGTTCACAAAAGAATATTTTTGTTATGGTTGAATATGTGGATAGAAAATACACAATGTAATATTATAGTAAACAATACAGAAATAGCTTTTAGCTTATAAACATAGACCACATATTGAATATGCTGTGTAATTTTGGGCACCTGTTCTAAAGAAGGATATTATGGCACTGGAAAAAGGCGGGCTACAAAATTACTAAAAGGAATGGAACATATACGCTATGAAGAAAGGTTAACAAATTTAAACCACTTTAGTTTACAAAAACGTCGCCTGAGAGGGGATATGATAACATTATACAAATATATATTCGGGGCCAATACAAACCGTTCTGTGGAAATCTATTCACAAACCGGACTTTACATACGACACAAGGCAAAGGAAAGGGTTTTTTTACTGTAAGAACAATCAGGATGTGGAATTCTCTGCCTGAAGAAGTGGTTTTATCAGAGTCCATACAGATGTTCAAACAGCTACTAGATGCATACTTGCAAAAACAGAATATTCAAGGATATAATCTTTAAATGTAGGGTAATAACTGCTTGATCCAAGGATAAATCTGACTGCCATTCTGGGGTCAAGAAGGAATTTTTTTCCTAGCTTGTTGCAAAATTGTGCTTCAAACTGTTTTTTTGCCTGCTTTTGGATCAACAGCAAAAAATAAATGTGAGGAAGCCTGAACTTGATTGACGCAAGTCTCTTTTCAGCTATGTAACTATGTAACTTAAAACAAACTAAAAAGATAACTTACAGAATGCCCCTAGCCAGGGCTGGTGCAAGGATTTTTGCCTATATAGGTGAAGATGCATTTTGCCTCTTCCCCCACGCTTCTTCACCTGTTGTCTCTTAGTGGCCTTAGTGTATCTTTTTCTCCCCTTTTGAGTGTCTTACACCCCCCAACCCCAATGTTTGTCTCTTACTTCATCAAGGTGTTTCTTACTTCACCCCAGCCATTTTTTTTTTCATTTTTTTTTTTAATTCTTTATTTATAGAGTGCAAGAAATAACATAGTGTTCAGTAAGCCACAACAGCCTCTGTACACAGAGTGATAACAAGACATATAAAACAGAGTTATGGCATTCGTATATATCGCACATTTTTAGTTTTTATAGTATGCTTACATTACAAGCTAACTAGTAAATGTCTGGAGCTACTGTTAAGGGAAAGTGGCTGAGCTTTGCGTATACATAAGCATGGTGCTAATCATTTTAAAGTAATACAGTAAGTAAAGCATGAGAGAATGCATATAGCTAACAGCTAATAAAGACATGCTGTAATTGTGCCACTAGGTCCCGGTCGCAAGCTTCTTGGTTAGAAGTAGCTCCGTTTTGCCCAAAGAACATAATAATAAAACATAAGCAAAGACAGAAGAAAAAGGACACAAGAACAAAAACAAAATACCCCTGGTTGAGAATAAGCTGGGGCGCATATATGGCCTGAGTCCTTGTGGCTGACAGGTAGCAGTGTGCTGTTAGTTCAGCCTATGCCCGATAAGTAATGTCCAGACTGCCAAGAAGAGTGTGAGCTCCCTTTCGCCGTCTTATATATCTGCCGTTGGTGTTGTGTCTTGTATATGCGTGCGCTGTTTAGCTGTGGTGTACCTGGTCCGGGCTGTAATCTGGAGCCGTCGTTGGCTGGGTGTGAGACGGGTGGCTTTGTCTTTCTGCCTCTTAGATCTGTCCGGACGGTGTTGGCTATGCGGTGGGCAGTTGATGTCTGCAGGCTTTCATTCCGGTTGTGGAGCTTTGTTTGTTGTGGGCCGCACGAGCCTCCCACAGGAGTCTTTGGCGCCTTTGCTCCATTATTGTGTGTTGTCTTGGGGCGGTCCATGTCCCCCCGTCGCTTCCACCACCGGGCCACAGTGCCCTGTACCCACTCTTTCAGTGGCAACGCTTTGCTTGGATGCTTTGCATGCTTGCGAGGGGGCGTGTGGTGGCGTGCTGCCGTTGTGGCTGGTTTCTGTACCGGTTGCGAGCTTCTCTCCCGCATTCGTTCCCAGAATCTCTGGCAAACAGCATCGAAGTTCGCATTGAAGGCTGCTGCCCATTCTTCATTAGTCTGCTGCATCAGTTTAGCGGCTGCACAGTCGGCCATATTAGCTGGGCCTTGTGGGGTCGCCTGAACAGCGTTGTGTCGTGATGTGTCCCAGAGGTGGGTGCTCTTAGGGCGCTGGTGGACCGGGATGACCCCCACTGGTCCAGAGGGGGGGGACAGGTGCCCTTCTTCACTAGTGGCTTCTTTCGTGGCGGGGGAGAGCGGCCGTCTCTCCTGCTCCCGCCTTTCGAGTAGGCCTCAGTTACTTGTTCTGCAAATATTGCTCGGTTCGTCACTTGATGGGTATCTTTGTGCTCAGATATTTGTCCCCTTTCAATTGCTGGCTTTGTTGGGCCGATTGGTCGCCGTTTGGGTTGTGTAAAGTGGCTTTTCATGCGTGCTATAGCAGGAGCCCTTGAGGATGTCGACCGCTCGGCTCTGCAGTCAGGACGACACTGACAGGAATCCTAAAGTAGGATGATCCCACCAAGATGGAGTCTAATTGGATGTCTAATCTGGTATATTGACCACAGACTTTTCTAGTGATTCTATTGCCTGCAGCCCACGCTGACCACTGACTTTTTTTTTTTACATTTATTCTTTCCCAAACTTGAGCCATGTTCTTTAATATGTGTCTGTAGATTTCCCAGTCCTACTTGTAAACATATGACAATGTTGTAATAACAAAGGATATTATAACAATGGGGACATTATTATTATTATCGCCATTTATGTGACGCCAACAGATTCCGTAGCGATTTACAATATTTTGAGAGTGGGGATTTAACTATAAATAGGACAATTTCAAGAAAATGTACAGGAACGATGGGTTGAAGAGGACCCTGCTCAAACAAGCGTACAGTCTATAACATAGACATGATAAAGCATGGGTGCTAGTGAAGAAGTTAGCAAAATATCTTCTAATCTTTTCTACATGTACATTGTTAGCTTTAAAGTGGTCTCATTTTGTACTTGTACAATTTCTCTTGAGCATAAAATAATGTTTAAAGGGTTATTTGCTAAAGTGAAAATTGTTAGGACTTCAAAGTGAATTTTACATTTATGGGCAAAAAAGGTGAACTGGAAGCATGGTTGGTTTGGCGATTTGATCCAATTCTTCAATTTTGGCCTTAAATTAGAAATTTACTTTGAATTCTCTATAATTCTCACTATAGTGAATAATACTGTTAATTTTGTAAACACGAGATTCACATGCAATACATATTTCTGCCCATGGTGGCGCTCTCCATATTTCCCTATATTGCTGCTCAGGCTTGCCGCGCGGCCTCGTTTCCCTTTAAAAGGCGAAGACAGCTAGCCTAACTAATAGCGTTCACGAGCTTCAACCACACCGCCCAATCAGCGTCGTCTTCAGAATTCGCCGTGCGCTCTGATTGGTCGTGCTCCCCGATATAAAACCGTTCTTGCCGTGCGCGCTCCCTTTCACCTCCCGGAGCCCTAGTGTGAGGTACGTGACATCGTGGCTGTGGGCCCGGCTCTCGGTTTACCGGAATGCCAGTTCCGGGTCCTCTCTCAGCGCCCCGCCGGTGATGACAGCACCTACAGCTGCATTATTCCGGAGCACGCGGGCCCAGAGCGCCATCTCCCCCCTCACTGTCCAGCGGGCCGCGTCTAGGGGCCCTCCCCCAGTGTGTTCCTTATAACTGGTGGCGGCTACCAAACCCCACACGTGGGCAAGCTGGCCCCCTTACCGGGAGAGCTCTTAATAAGGGCTGAATGTAACCAGGGGCTACAGAGTGCATGCAGCCAGCCTGTGGGTGCATGGCTGAGGGGGGTCTCCCCTGGGGGTATGGGGACAGGTTTAGTCTGCACTCATGGTTTTGGGGTATGGGGACAGGTTTAGTCTGCACTCATGGCTTTGGGGTATGGGGACAGGTTTAGTCTGCACTCATGGCTTTGGGATATGGGGACAGGTTTAGTCTGCACTTATGGCTTTGGGTGGTTTTAAACCTCCATAACTCCCATGTTCCCATGTTTGTACAGAGTAATGTGTTAACACAGTGAATGGCAGCCTGGCACTGTGCATACATGGTGTGTGTTACCCACTGATACATTCTGCAGGTTAGACAGTTTGACACATGTATGTTTACACAGGAGGGCTCAGTTTGGTAGTGTTTTCATGTTGAGTCTCATCCTATATTTTGCCTTTGTCCTCTACATAGCTTGATAGCATTTATCATGTACACCTCAGTTTACGTCCATATATTGGCCTGGAAAATGGAAAGTGTAAGTGTGAATTCTGCTTTATGCTCTGGTAGTACTTAGTGCGGCACTGTCACAGTCTGAGGACTTTGCAGAATTCAGACACCTGGATGAGACCTTTCCGCAGGGGGGAGGGTGGGCAGGTAAACTTACCTGAACTTGTCCCTGGCGGATACTGCTATCTTCATCTTGTGGGTCCTCTTTAGCTTCTGGCTTGAGCCAATGTCAGAGTGCAACATTGAGATCTATGGAGGATCCTGTGTGGTCCTCAATAGACAAAGCCATTCCCTGCATCCCTCACTGGTGTCTGCTGTTGGCATTGACACTGTAGCGCTGCCCTGTCTATAAGTCAGGCTGACCAAATAGACAAAGTAGTCCCTGCTTTCTCTATATCTATTGACTGGGTTGGAATTTCAGTGAGATGACAACAGTCCAAATGAATATTTCATAAAGGTTCTATGTTTATAAAATGCTATTTATTTTTTTTTTATTTTTTTTTAGTGGGAGAGTGTAACCGTGACATTTTAATTTCTGATGTATAAAGACACTTAAGTTACATAGATCGTTTAATTTAGCACAATAAATTGTAAAAATAAAAAAAGGACTGACATAAGCATATCTTATAGATCACTGGTCATCACAATTAATTATTGGTCAATATAATCATAAAGACCTATACTAAGCATAACTGCTACTGCCAAATGTAGCGGTTGTATTGCCAGGGGTACCCTGGCCTGGTTCCCCATTAATGGGGCAAACGACTTCGTAACGGTTTACCTCTTACCTGGGCCCCTAGTGTTGCAGTGATGTGCTTCTGGTTTAGATATACTAAATGCAGTTCTGTAGAACAAAAGTTTCTCAGAATTGACAATAGCTGATGTTACCTCAAGGATACTGCTGAATTACATATCTGACAGCACAGGGGTGAAGTATTAGAACTTTACGTAGCCTTAGAGAGGTCTGTAGAGTTTGTGCAGTATTCCTAGTCTATACCAGGGGAATTGGAACAAGTGAGTGAAGACATTTTGGAGGTTTGTGACTAGTTGAATCACCCATATTAGATTGACAGTCTGCTGACTTAGACAACTGAGCTGCAGCTGAATGAACATGCAGATTTGTTTAAAAGAACTAAAGTTGCCTTTTGAATAAGTTAGACACCAAAGCTTAAAAAAAAACTTACTTCATCTTAATAGTTTGGTTGCTTAGACCCTGTCCTGGCACGCTAGCAATGTAAAACATTGCTCCTTCAGAAAAGATTTGTAGATTGTCTGCCAGAAGTGTCCTGGCACTGTTCCACAGTACTAATAACCACTTTTAGTAAGATTTGATTGCTTACCAGGGTCCCACAGAGCACCTGTGGCCACAGCTCATGCTTACTGTATCTTTAGCAGGAGCATCGGTTGAGTCAGTGCTGTTCTGGATTGGCAGTCTGTAGTTCTATGTAGACATCCAGCTTCTCCTTCACGAGAAGACTAATGGTGGTGCTGGTGTCACCATGACTACATACTATGAGATGATGCCAGGGCACTCCAAATACTATAACACACTGCAGAAGGCTAAACACACTGCTTAAATTTAGTATTCATTTTATACAGATTTGTCATTGTGCTAACATAACATGTAAACAAATTATTTGTTTTCAGGTTATACCTTGTCTTTAAACCCTTTTTGTGGCAATCCTTGGAAGCACTGACAAGATGCCCAGGGAAGACAGGGCTACGTGGAAGTCAAACTATTTTCTTAAAATAATTGTAAGTATTTTTTCAACTCCTAATATATGGTGTATGTGACTGAAAATGTTCAAGATAATTGCATATATTTTGCCTAGAATTTGGTTTGTTATACTTCATTTTGAAGCGTAGATTTACCAGATTCGTGTATTTACAACTGATGTTTGGCAGATATACTTTTCTAAGGGTATTTATTTTATCACTTGAATACGAAATGCAAGTGATGGGAGATATACTACAAAATCTAGTTTGGAATTGTCTAATCTGTTTCAGGAATAAATACTGACAAAGCTGAACACTTTAACAGCAGATAAGCCAATTGGTTCACTTTGCTTACTGCTTTTAAAGGCCATTTTATAGGATTTTAAAGTTATCTCAAAACTAAGTCTATTTCCTAAGCAATGTTTTTTTTTTTTGTTTTTTGTTTTTTTTGTTCTAGCAATTGCTTGATGATTTTCCAAAATGCTTCATCGTGGGGGCGGACAATGTTGGTTCAAAACAAATGCAACAGATCCGTATGTCCCTACGAGGGAAAGCTGTAGTTTTGATGGGAAAGAACACAATGATGCGCAAAGCTATACGTGGACACCTGGAAAATAACTCTGCTCTGGAGAAGTGAGTTAGGTTTAGTCCTGATGATGGATATTATATTTGACTGTTCCAAATGACTTATTGATTTGTGTCCTTTTCAGGCTGCTGCCTCACATCAAGGGTAATGTGGGCTTTGTTTTTACCAAGGAGGATCTTGCAGAAGTTAGAGACCTGCTGTTGGCCAACAAGGTAGAGAAAATTGTAGTGTTAAAATTATCAAACCTTTGTAAAGTAGAACTACTTTGTAATCTGTTGATTTTGTTCCTTAGGTGCCAGCCTCTGCTCGTGCAGGAGCAATTGCTCCATGTGGGGTCACCGTGCCTGCACAGAACACTGGTTTGGGCCCTGAGAAGACCTCCTTCTTCCAGGCTTTGGGTATTACCACCAAAATTTCCAGAGGAACAATTGAAATCTTGGTGAGTGCAATCTTAAACAATTTCTGATATTGTGTTTGTGGTTCTGTAGTAGTATGTTAATACTTTTTTGCATTGCAGATATGTTTAAGTGGTGTGTATTTTTCATACAGTTGTGAAGAATTGATGTTTATGTGAAACTGTGTATAGCTACTGCCATATATCATGTTGCATGGTTTGCAACAAAATAGTTGTATGCTATAGAAAGGGTATGTTACTTAAGATCTGTTTTGTTCTAGGGAAATATATTTTTGTTGCTATAGTACTTTTAATTTGATATAACTTTTTTAAAGTTTTCTAATTGATTTTTGGTCTCTTTCCAGAGCGACGTGCAACTGATTAAGACTGGAGACAAAGTGGGTGCCAGCGAAGCCACACTCCTGAACATGTTGAACATCTCACCCTTCTCCTTCGGTTTAATTATTCAGCAAGTTTATGACAATGGCAGTGTATATAATCCAGAGGTACTGGACATTACAGAAGAAGCTCTTCATGCCCGCTTCCTTGAGGTAAGGACTATCATGTGATTTATTCAAAATATCTGGAGCTTTTGATAATGAACTGTAAAAGAGCATTAGTAAAACTAGAGAGCAAATTGTGATTTTTTTTATTTTTTTTTCTCCTTCTTCTTAAGGGTGTTCGCAATGTGGCCAGTGTTTGTCTTCAGATTGGATATCCCACTATTGCTTCAGTGCCTCACTCAATCGTCAATGGGTATAAGAGAGTTCTTGCTGTTGCTGTGGAAACTGATTACAGCTTCCCATTGGCTGACAAGGTGAGAATATGGTCAAAATTGGCTGTGTGCTGGAAATGCAATTGTTAATGCACAACAACTTTCTGTTAACTGTATACTGAAATAGGCTACACTGCATTTGAGGGTGGATGTAATTGAATTGTACCATGCAGAATAAAACTTTCTTAAATTCCTACACATTGAGCTCTTGCTTAAGAGCAGGTTTAGAGTCATATCTCGTCATCTTTCTAACGTGGTGCGTCAAAATCATGACAAGCCTGCATTTAAAGTGAGGTCAATTAAGAATAAGTTTGTTAACCTACAAGTAAAGGACGTGCATTGCCTGTTGATCCATGGACACCTTTGTAGGCAACCTCTTCAGTATAGGAATGTAGTTATGGGAACAAAGTCCTACGGAGATGGGAAACAAATTCTTGGTAATCTACCAAAGCCTTTAATCATGGGTTAATGTTGGTTTTCAAGTTTTGCTGTTGTGGTTTTAAGCTTAAATGGATATCCTCTTCATTTTTATTTTCCCAGGTCAAGGCATTCCTGGCAGATCCATCTGCTTTTGTTGTAGCTGCCCCTGCTGCTGAGACAGCTGCAGCACCTGCTGCTGCTGCCCCGGCTAAAGAGGAAAAGCAGGAAGAATCAGAAGAATCTGATGATGATATGGGCTTTGGGCTCTTTGACTAATTCTAACTGTGGTTTATGCCATCATAAATAAAGAACTCTACAGCTGACTCTTTGTGTTTGTGGTTTATAGAAATGGCATAGTGTGACTGAAAGATGGATTGGATTTGGTTTTATTGAGTAACTTTATAGCTTAAATTCTTCATTAAAGGTTAGTATTGGTTATTATCCATGCAGAATCTTATTTTTTTTAATTTGTGCTACAATGTCATTTCCGGTTTTCTTTTCCCTTAGGGACGGGAAGGCCATTAATCAAATGAATACTGCACACTAGCTTCAATTGGTACCTATGATGGAAGAGATGCGTTACACACCAACATGTGACATCACTGATGAGGCTCTTTGAAGATGACAGGTAATATTTCAAGTGAATGGAGTAAGAGAAAAGTGTGCATGGTTTTTCCCAGTCTTGCTGAAATCTGCCTTTTGTGTTGCTCATTCATCTTTCCATGTAGTGAATGTGGTGTCTCTTAAGGCATACATAAATTCCACATGTGGCCTAATAAAGATTAAAATGGTTTTCTTTAGCTGGCTGCTTATGGAACAGTTTTATTCTTTAAAAAAATCATGTGTACCTGCTTTTCTGCTTGACACATCTGAATTCGTTTATATTCAATTCAGCACAATACAAACTGTCCTTTATCATGAGTTTTTTCTATAAAGAACCTAATAACCTCTACTTTTAAATAGATGTGACATGCTATGCACATGAAATGTGATGGCTAAAGTATAAACTGGTAATCATGTAATCCCAAACAATGATTTATATTGAGCTTGCCAAATTAATACACAGATATAGTATTGGGTGAGTTCAATTTTTTTTTTTCTCAAAGCACTTGTTTTGGCTGCCTTCTTCTATGCAAGCCTTAACTGCATTTAATATAAGATGCTTTCAATACTCCCACTGAGTGCATTATAATAGTGTGTAAACAAAAAACAGATTGTAGGATAGGTCTACAAGCTATCTTAAATTTTACTCTTTAGAGAGCGGTCTACAAGCATCATCATATTGACCCATTTCCAAGCCACCTTTATGAAGTTTTCTCTTCCTAACTGATATAACACGCTTTAATGAGTTTATATACAAAACCCATGCTTAGTATTCATTTTTTTTTAAATTTTGCAAGCATTTTAATAACACATTGCTTTATTTTAAACAGATGATACCAGAAACTACAATAAAGTAAAATCTTCTATAATACAAAGTAAGTAAAGTTTACAGGAATGTTAACATTTAAAGGAAACATCAAAAAGCAAATCAACTCTTTAAATGCATTAAAGGAACACTGTAGCATTATTCAATTAGATATGAGTTTGGACGTAAGATTCCCAGCTCTCATCCCCAGTGGGATTGGAGGCATATTATTATATTTATATTGCGCCATCAAATTCCGTAGCACTGTACAATGGGATATAAAGCCACGCTTCCAAGTCTTCGGATTAGTTTATTTTTGGGGTTGGACAGGGTGGTCAGACCTTGAAGGCACTGTAACAACTTCAATGAGCTGAAATTGTTAAAGTGCCTACGGTGTTTCTTTAAACTCCTCTTGATTGGACTAAATTTGCAATGTATCGTTGTAAAATGTACAAGCTGTGGTCATTTCTCATGAACTTTACAAATGTCAGTTGCACATCAGAGCTATGTGTTATATAATTACTTGGACGTCGTAGACGGTTGTAAATTGTTACGAGAGAGACACACACTTTGCTTTAATTGAATGCATACTGGATGAAAAGAAAATATTACATTTCTTATTGTATATTTTCAGCTGCCCTTGTGTTACCCATTCATTTTTTTAAGTGATGAATGAGGCGTCAAACAGGGCAAAAATTAAAATCCTCCATGCTTTCCAAGGTGCCCTTGGACTTGTCTAATGTCCAGGGCACAGGTATGCATAGAGACAGTACCACTGTTAGGAAAGGCAGTGTATATTTTGAGTTTATTAAACATTTTAGAAATCAAATGACTTTCTGTATAGGGCAGTGAAAGGACAATACTGTTAAGTGACCCTTTTCCTTTGTAGTGATTCATGGAGAGGGAAGTAAAACTTATATACAGTGCTGGTTCTAGATCATATTTTTACTTTAGAATTTTAATTGTCAAGCATGACTTGTAATCTTTGATTTTATTTTATTTTTTTTCAGCAAGAACTGCATGAAGGACAGCCTGCTCTGGATGTTCACTTTTTATTTTGTTCTCCCCATTGTCATTTGCTGTGAGAAGAACGTGCAGTAATTTTGGTTGTCTTATGAAACAAGCTAGTTCATTTTACGGTTTATATAACAAAGGCGCAGGGGCTGGTATTCTAAACCTACAGTAAAGTATAGTTAAAGGGTTAAGCCACTGTCTAAAGATCCTTTCTACTTATTCTCTACTGGGTGCTATTAATTCTCCTCCCCATTTTCCTTAAAACGTGGGTGCAGTAACACACACTCTATTAACAGTGAATACATTTCAAAGTAACTAGTTTGGATGTAAAAACGAATTTCATATTTAATTCAAAAGTGGCTGACCTTGACTCATTGCTCATTTGGAGAAGATTTCCAGTTTGTCTATATGGTAACATTGAAATCCTGTTTCAAATTGATAATTCACTTTTGTTGGTTTATGGATCTGGCAGATGTAGCATTTCGATAGTGTTGTGGAAAGTATTCATCGGTAGCTGTTCATCTACTATACACTTAACATTCTTATACTATTTCATTCTAAATTTAAAACTTATCCTATCAAATGAATCTTATATTTTTGACATTCTTTATTTTTCCAGTAGTGGCAAGGTTTATCTGTCAGACAGAAATTAAATTTTCTTTTATTATATATGTAGAATAAACAAGCAACTTCCTGTCTGAAAGCATGAAGTGTTTAAGACCAAATCCTTGTGCAGATTGAGAGGCTAAGGCCAAAGCGAGACTGCACAATAAATATGAACAGGCTAGTAGATTGTTATACATGTGCAGACCTATGAGGCCCTGTAGTGGCCTTATTTCAGTCCAGTGTCTGGCCCTAGATTTCATTGAGCAATTAAAATTGTGAACTTGCTAAAACAATGGCAAACAGGAAAGGAATAGAAAAGCAAAGCAGCGGGTGCTGACCTGCAGCTTGAGACAATATGCCCACCGAGGATGTCTGTCTTACTGGAATCTTAGTAACCCTCTCTTCTTGAGATAATGATGCGGTGATGACCCTTGCAGGTAGAGGCTTAGTACCCCTGGCACTGATAATCCCTCCAGTGTTGCCGCTGTTATGAAAGGTCCCATGTGACCCAGACCCAAAGGTTGGCTAGGTGCAGTCCTTTCTTTTAGGCAGTATAATGGATTCTGTTGCTGTTGAAATTTCTTAGTGGCAACTGCTGAGGTATTCAGTTTGTCAGCTGTTGGTGCTTAGGAGAGATCATTAGCTTCTGAAGCTTTTCCCAGAAGTCTGTGAAAATGCTGTATAATTTAGTGAGGATGTCGTCACAGGGATCTGATGAGCACAGGGCATCTTCCATTGGGGTGGTATGCTGTGAACACATCTCCAGCTCTGTGTTGCAGGGTAAGTAGACCGGGATCGCCCCCCACCAGTTCAGAAGAGAAAAGGGATAGCAAGAGGGTTTACCATGGGCCTGACGGCCGCACAGCAGAAGAGCAACCCTCTTTCCTATCTGGTATGAGCATTAAGCTAAGAGAGGAGCTCTCAGAACAAGTTTAGTTGTCGTAAGGTCATGACCTCCCCCCGTATACATTTCAAATTCCAGTAATAAGAGAGCTTCCCCTAGGATAGGGCTTACTTGTCTAAGAATTTGAAACCAGGCACATTTTGCTGCATTAATGAGATTAATAAAAACTCACTTCTGCACTTCAACTCTGTTCACCTTGAACCTGGGTAGCCACGATAAACAGGGAAAGCTATTCTAACCCACCCTTGTGCTTTTAGCAGTTGTAAGTCAGATAACACAAGGACAGTTTGCAAAAAATGGTGGACTGGGACTGTTAGTTTAATAACTGCTAAAATCCCCCACCCCACACTTTTCATATATCAATTTTATCACTAATGGTTGTCAGAACTTGGCTGTTTTGTTTCTCCATGCCTCATCATCACACTTTCACTATTATAATGGTAATGTGGATAAAGCCTGCCATTGCTTCTGTTACATCCAGTACAAAATAAAAACAAATTGCAGTGGGTGTGTAATAAGAGTGATTTCTTTCAAACTACTTCGAACATTGGATTACAATTTTCAGAGTTATTCTGTAAAACGAGATTTGTCCAGAACTCAAAATGAATTTCACTTTTAAGGCAAAGATAGTTGCACTGGAAATAAAATCAACTCTTTGTTTCATGTTTGGCTTCTTTGACCTACAGTTGAAATTCACTTTGAATTCACAATACTCACCTTGGATTTTGTAATCACACCTTAAAGGGTTACTACAGCCCCCCAAAAAAAGCGTTTTTATAGAACACAGATTGTTTGTAGTAATCCCTTCTGTCTTGGGGGTCCCTCAAATGCCAAAAAAGGGGCTAAAATTATATATTTTTTTCTCTTGATGTCAAGTTCTCCCTCAGCCTGATCCTCCTTGGCTGAAGTCACTCCCTCTTACTGGAGTTGGATGGATGTCTGAGAGGAGGAAAGGTACAAGATGGGGGGTGGGGTGTTTGCATTGCCATTAGCTATTTGGTGCCAGCAGGCTAAGTGTTCTGGTGTCAGGTGCTTATTTTGCACAGAATTGACATTAGCAAGCCTTTGTGATGGGCTGGCAAATGCTGCTGCCAAATGTAGTTACACCTCCGGCAGTGAATGGGGTAAATCTTTGTATGTGCAGTGTTTCACAGACTCCAGGCACTAAATTCACTGACGTATTCATGGTATTTGGAGTAACCCTTTAACCCCTTAAGAACCAAACTTCAAGAATAAAAGGGAATCATGACATGTCATGTGTCCTTAAGGGGGTAAAGGGACACTATAGTCACCAGAACAACTACAGCTTATTGACTTTGTTCTGGTGAGTAGAGTCATTACCTTCAGGCTTTTTGCTGGCCACTCCTCAGATGGCTGTTAGAGATCCTTCCTGGGTCATGGCTGCCTAAAATGCATCCAAACATTCAGTGTCTCCTCCCTCTGCATCGAGACACTGAACTTTCCTCATAGAGATTCATTGATTCAATTCATCTCTATGAGGAGATGCTGATTGGCCAGGGCTGTGTTTGAATTGTGCTGACTCTGCCTCCTTGTCAGTCTCAGCCAATCTTACAGGGAAGCATTGTGATTGGATCAGGCTACCACTTCTGATGATGTCAGCACACTGCTTGTTTTTCTGTGTCTAACAGCATGCAGATTTACTGCTTCAGGCTTGAATACAGTAAGATTTTGCTATATTTATGGAGGCACAAGGGGCCCAGGGGGGCTAGATGGTGGTTTTCACACTATAGAGTTAGGAATACATGTTTGTGTTCCTGACCCTATAGTGATCCTTTAATGAAGTCGTTTTGGTGCATAGACCCTGTGTCCATGCAGGGCTGGCTTTACAGCGCCTCACTGGTCACACCCGCTCATCAGTGTAGTGTGTGTGTGTGTAGAGGGTCAAATATTAATTCAGTTTTTCTGTTGTTACCTTGCAGGGAGGGGGACATACTAATCTCTCTGGTCCAGTGTGCTGGGAATCTGATCTGTGTCTCTGCCTCTGTATGTGATATTTATATGGGTGTATTGACTGTTTGACTTAAGTATCTTCACAAATATAAAAGAAATTAAAAATGCATGTAGGCCCATGTGTGAATGCAGGTGTGTATTTTAGCAGTGTCACATGCACACAGTTTTACACACATATACTGTAGGTAGGTCTGGTGAATGACACACCGCCAGACCCAGGCTAGGCATGAGTCTACCAACCATCCTCTTTGAGGATCTGACTGAAATCCTGGCTTGGATGTTTCACCTAGGAGTGGGGTTGTGGTTTGATGGGTGTACTTTGGGGGCCCTAGGCCCAGGTACGCAGTAGTGGGGACCAGGCCTGTTCGCTATGCACGAAGGCTGGGTCAACTGAAATGTTCCCGCTGATCTTCAGTGCAGGCGTGGGAGCTCTATTCCGCAGAAGCCATTGCTGGTAGGGCATCCTGCGGATAGGTAATGCAGCCTTACCTAGTGTGAGCTACAAGGCTGCCTTGTTAACATCGACGAGTGGGACCAACTTTGCAGGGGGTGTTGAGGCAGTAGTATTACTTGGCAAATAGTTCTCCCGTTTTCATGTGCCTGCGCCATGCGGTCTTATGGCCATCTTAAAGGGTGGGCCAGCATGCCATGGTGTAGCAGCCCAAGATCAGCAGTGTGGCCTCCTCAGTGGGGACCGGGATAACCCCTGCCAGTCTAAAGGTGGTGAACAGGACCAGGAAGGCGTCAGGTAAGTTGCTGTTGTAAATTAGCTGGGGCGGAAAGTGAGGCAGCTGCCGTCCGCCCTACTCCACTCCTAGGTAGGCCTCAGTCTTCAAGCCTCAGAGTCTCTCTCCAGGACCCAGAATACCCGATATCAGGCACTCCAGAGCCTTGTACCATGGGCTTCCAGGGTATTACAAGCTGAGTGAAACCGGTATTTTGCAGAAAACAGTTTGATTCCTCAGGAGCCATAGTGACTTGCAGCCTGCTAGCATGACGACCCCCAATGACGACAGTTTTAAGTATGCACATAATTGACATTAGGCTGCCAATGTCACGTGTTGGGGTGCAACTAGCCCCCAGCACATAGTAATGTATCTCTGTAGGTGCAGTGTTTCATCAGAAACAATGCACATATATACTACCACCATGACCACTTCAAATCACTGAACTGGTCATGGTGGTGGGAGTAACCCTTTAAAGAAACTCTCCAGGCATATGCCCTTTGGCATGTAAGCTCATTGAGCAAGGCCCTCTGTTCCTGTGCGTCCAACTTGTCTGGTTACAATTACGTGTCTGTTAGTTTACCCATTGTACAGTGCTACGGAATTGCTGGTGCGATATAAATAATAAAATAATATATAAAGCACTTTGGCTTCCTGAAGTTATTTGTGGTTGTTTTTCCAACAGTTTATAAATAGTCTATTCCCCAACACAGACTGAAAGCCTGTGTCTGGGCAAGGGAGGAGGGCTTGCAAAGGCAGCTGCTAACAAGCTTTAAAGGAACACTCCATTGATTTCAAAAATATATATATATATATATATATATATATAATTTTTACAAAAAAATAAAACAAAATACAGTTTCTACCAATAGTCCTTAACCCGCATCTCTAATTTGAACTCCCCAAGTTACCAGACCCCCAATGCTGCAACATTATCCCTTTGAATCCTCACCCTTACTACTGCAACCAATTTCTCACCCTTGTTGCTGTCCATTTCACAACATGATGATCTAAGTTCCTGTAATATTAACTTATTTTTCCACTCTCCACCTAAATAATAGTACTTGCAATTTCCCTCTTTACTCTCTCAGCCCATCATTCACAAGCTATCAATGAAAGTTCTGTAAATACTAGATTTCCTCTATGCATTCTATTGTTAAAATAGAGCATGTATTATACTATACCCTGTTGGTTTGAGCATGTGACAAGCTCTGCATGTGTGTTTTTGGCATTGTATATATCTACCACTTGTGCATTCAGTATAACACTACTCAAATTCCTCTGGATTTAATTCCATATAGTACATAAGACTTGCCATTCAGTGAAGTTTACATCAAGTGTTAGCTTGCACTGCACTTTCACAAGAATTTCTTTACATTCCTGTGTGGATCTTGCACTCTGCATACTGTCAATTGTGAGCATGTTGGAAACTCCACAATTGTGAGTGTTTTTTTATTTTTTTAAATAAATTTTTCACTTTTATAGCACCTATAAGAATGTGAGAATTACTACACTTTTAGTGCGCTCTTGCTTTATAACTCTTAAGGTGACACACTTAGGACAATTATCCTAAGAGGGGATTGTACTGCTATACACTGCCCATACTAGAGCTTATATAATAGAGAAAATTTATGACAAACTTACCGTAATTTTCTTTTCCTGGCTATTTCTCATGGCAGCATCACTTATGGGTAGCTCCCCCCGTAGCAGTCACAGGACAGAAATTAATTAGATTAATTAATTAGACTGATAGGTATAAAGAGTCCCTCCTCTCCCTACCCTTCAGTCCAATTATAAAGCGGGAAAAAAATTAAAGAATGGGCGGGAACCCTGATGCTGCTATGAGAAACAGCCAGGAAAAGAAAATTATGGTAAGTTTGTCATAAATTTTCTCTATTCCTGGCTAATCATGGCAGCATCACTTATGGGTAATACCCAAACTGTAAGATATATAGGGTGGTGTGGCGAAAGTGACCTCGCCACTGGTTTTTGGAGGGGCCTGTTTGCCAGCCACCTGCCCTGTGACTATGGCACTGGGATGTATTGCCCTTCTATGAACTGATTTTGGCATATTGTATTTTATTATGCTGCTGGCCCTTTAAGAACCATCTGGGGACATACTGTGGAGTTACTGGGTGGCCACCATTTCATGTATAAGAGGCACATGGTGAGAACAATGTATGGCGGCCATTTTAACTCACAGACACTGTTTTGACTTTTCTACATGGTGCCATCTCGCCGGTATTTGGTGCACAAAGACATCGTTCAGTAGTTTTAAACTACAGAACAGGGGACACATTTAACAGTAATTATTTTTCATATAGCCTGTATATGTTCTGTGGAATCTGCATTAAACCGTATCTTCCAAACTATTGAATGGATATGGGGTTATTGCATGTTTTGGGGTCCCTGTGATATGTTTTATAATACTGTATTTCTCTGCCTGGGATAATTATATTAACCATTGTGTTCAGTAATCTTATCATAGGCAGAGGGGAGGATTTTGTGTGGGAGTGTCTGTATTGTACGGATTGATTGGTTGTATTTCAAAACCCTGTGGGCAGTACTATGTTTGTAGAATGTTAATAAAAGAGGCTGTATGTGCCAGTACAGTCAGTTCTTCTTCACCCTCAATCTAGAGTCCTGTCTCTTATTGGCGCAATTGCTATATTGCTCTGCTCTGCATATTCCCTTGCTTTAATCACTCCTAAGCTCTTGTAAGAGCTTGTTCCTGCTTCGCTTTGAAGGAAGAGAGGTTCGGCCTGTGGTTGTTGTGGTGTCGGCTAGAGTGCTTGGGGTCCTCAAGAAGCGCTAGGAGCATCTTTCAACGGAGGTACCCAGTCGGGGTGCCAGGTGATCCGTTACAGGTGGGAAAAGAAAACGAGAAAAGGACATTATACAGTCACTCCTGCTGCAAAGAAATTTAATATCAATGGGATAAAGAAACTGTAGACAGAACACTCTTTCCAAAGAAGGTGGAAGAAGAGGCTACGTCCAGTTAGCAGCGATTTTGAACGTCAACGGTGAAGACCAGGTGGCTTCTCTGCAAATATCAGCATATGGAACATCTGCCCCATTAGCCCATGAAGTCTACAGTGCTCCTTGATTGGAGGAAACTTGCCTTTAGAGAAGTGCACTTACCTGATTAGCGAAATTCAACGTTTCAACGTAGATAAAGAAGCTGCCACACCTCACCTAGTTCCTGAAGGTGGAACAAAGAGTTGATCAATCTTTCCGTATGACTTAGAACTAAGGAATTGAGACAGTTCTTAACATCCAACGTTGTCCTCTAACATCTTCACTAGAAGTTGGATTAGGATAGAATGATGGCAGAACCACTCCTTGAGAGAGATGAAACAGAGATACCACCTTAAGAAGAAACTCCAATATTGGTCTCAGACACACCCAATCCTGATAAATTTGTCATGGTAGAAAGGGCTATAATCTCTGTTCTTCTTGCGGAAGTGACAGTCACCAAAACAAAGTCTTGTAAATCAGAAGGGTAGTATCCAAAATTTTCAAGGGGAACAAACGATCAGTCAGGTCGTTGAGTAAAACTGGAAGGTCGCAAAGAGGGGTAACTGATCTGGAAGGAGAACTCAAGCTGCCTTGAAGAATATTGTAATCAAAGGATCCGAAGCTCATGAGATATTGCATAATGTTGAAAAGGCCGAGGACTGAACTCTAAGAGTGTTGAGGCCAAGGCCTTTGTCCAGACCTTCCTGAAGGAAAACAGGATCTGAGTAGGTTGCAAGAAGTTAAAGCTCCTTGTCGATGCCCATTCTCTGAATATATTTCAGAATCTATGGTAGCACTAGGAAGTAAAACCCTTCCTAGACTACAAAAGGGTATTGGCCACTGCTTCAGAGAGGCCAAAGTGACATCTCTCCTTTTAAAGATCCCAGCTAGAGGGGTTCTGGATGAGGATGGGAGATTGGACCTTGACTCAGCAAATCTATCATTATTAGGAGAAGCAGAGGTCGTTCCTGACTCAACTTGATTAAAGGACCACTATAGTGCCAGGAAAACATACTCGTTTTCCTGGCACTATAGTGCCCTGAGGGTGCCCCCACCCTCACCCCCTCCCGCCCGGCTCTGGAAAGGGGAAAAGGGTTAAAACTTACCTTTTTCCAGCGCTGGGCGGGGAGCTCTCTGCCTCCTCTCCTCCTCCGTTCCTCCTCCTGGGCTGAATGCGCACGCGCGGCAAGAGCTGCGCGCGCATTCAGCCCGTCGCATAGGAAAGCATTTACAATGCTTTCCTATGGACGCTTGCGTGCTCTCACCGTGAAAATCACAGTGAGAAGCACGCAAGCGCCTCTAGTGGCTGTCAATGAGACAGCCACTAGAGGATTAGGGGGAAGGCTTAACCCATTCATAAACATAGCAGTTTCTCTGAAACTGCTATGTTTATAAAAAAATGGGTTAACCCTAGAAGGACCTGGCACCCAGACCACTTCATTAAGCTGAAGTGGTCTGGGTGCCTAGAGTGGTCCTTTAAGAAATCTGGGTATCGTGGGTAGGGGAGGGAACGCATACCCCAGATCGAAAGACAGAGGAAAAGAAAAGGGCATCCTGGCCCATCGTCCGATAGTCTGAATGGAGAGAGTAGAAATCCTCTACATGACAGTTGCTGAAAGACGCCATAAGGTCGATCTGGGTTATGCCCCACCGATGGGCAATCCACGAGAAAACCGCTGGGTGAAGCCTCCATTCTTCTGGAAGAATTTCTGTTCTGCCGAGGGAGTCCACAGTAACGTTCTCTGAGCCCGGAAGATAGATTGCCTTTAGACCTCGAAGCCTCTCTGTGGCCACTTCCATTACGAGACCCAGTTCCTTCAAAGTAATTGCTCCTTGTGCCTGCCTGGTTATTCACATAAGAGGCAATCGTAATTATGTTCCAAGAAGATTCCTACAACGTGAAACCATCCGACAATATTATTTCCCTTCTACCAGTTCAATCCCTTCTTACCGGGGAGTGCGGAGTAATTCTCTGATCCCAATCTGCTTCTATTCTGTTGAATTGAAGAAGGAGGCAATGCTGAATAGGACAAGACTTCCATTGGGCCCATTTCACCAGCCTGACAGCTAATGTCAGAGAACCCAAGCAGCTCATGACTTCTCTCGCTAAGGCCTTTGTGAGACTTTGATTTTCCTATGTTGTCTCAGATTTTTAGAGCCCTGTCCAATGAGAGAAACACAAGGGCTGAGATCGTATCAATCACTGCTCCCCGGAAGAAAATCCTTTGAGAAGGAATCAGGGAGCTCTTCTATATGATTAGATGCCAGCCGTGATCTAGAAGAAAGTGGCTCATCAAACTCCAGTGACAATGAACAATCTGGGGAGATGGACCTCTGAAGAGGATATCGTCCAAGAAATTGAAGATTTCAATTCCACTTCTCTTATAAAGGCTAAGATGCCAAGCTGAGGCCAAACAGAGGGCCCTGAATTAGAAGAGTTTTCCTAGAGCCCAGAAACCGAGAAAATTCATAAGATTGTACATATGGAATTGGTAGTAGACATCCTTCAGGACTATCGAAGTTATCCAACCCCTATTTTGATGTTTTTCATAATGGTCTGTAGGGATTCCACTTTGAATGTTCTCACATTGAGCATGGAATTCACTCCTTCGAGTTGAGAAACAGATGCCACTTCCCTGGTGGTTTAGGAGCCAAAACACTGTGGAGTAAATGCCTATGAACATCTGTGATTGGAGCCTGTCAAAACCCTTGACTTCTTGAAGAGAGTGGATTTTGGTTAAGAAGAGAACTATATCCTGTAACTTCTATTAAGAAAGAACTGACCCAGATGTCTGTGATATTTACGGCCCAAATAGGGTAGAAGAACCTTAGCCATCCCCCCACAATCTCTAAAAGGACCTCAAGACCTTACAAAGTTCTTCCCAGATGTACTAGCACCCCTCCCTCTGAAGGCTTTATACACCTAGGGCTGGGAGAAGCTTCTCCAAGAGGAATTTCTAGAATACTCCCTTCCTGGGTTATAGCTTCTACTAACCTGAAAGAACCGATCCTTGAAACGATTCCTCTCCCCGGAAGAGGAAAAAGGCTTCCTTCTTTCTTGCAGCAAAAAAGGCTTAACGCCATCTGCAGCCTATAGAATGGCTTCATCCGGGTTGTACCATACAATGAATCCTTCAGAAACAGAGAGGCACACAACCATGCCTTGGAAGCATAGTCAGCCCACCACAAATGAAGCCACATGGCCCTATCTAGAGGCCGCAGATAAAGCCATACTTTCTACAAACATACGAGGGATGTCTAAAGAGGCTCCCGAGCAGAACACCGTAGCCAGGCTTAAGACCTTGAGAGATTATAGAATTTGTTCTCTGCAGACTCTATGGTCAATGTCCTCTCAAAATGAGCAATTCACACTTTCAAGGCCTTGAAAAAGTGGTTAAGGACACTGCAGGATATAGGGCAGAGCCCAGGATCAAATAGGATTTCATGAGATCCTATCCATACGCTTTTCCATCGGTGCTCTAAGGTAGGCCATGGAGTCAATGTGGAGCGTAGGTTCCTTAGCCATATAAATCCTACGGCTGAGTAAGGATAAACCCTTGAAACCTTAGCCTTTAAGGTGGGTTTCCTTGCAGGTTTGGTCTATTCTTGAAGGAACGTGTCCTCAACAGCAGGAGGTACCGGAAATGTAGGTCTACTTGGATTCAGATCCTCAAAGAACCGGTCAGCCTTTCTGAACTCTGATTTATCTTCCGGGAGGCTAAGAGTGTCCATAAAAAGGGTAATCAGCCTATCAATAGACTGAGTCAAGAGACCCGGAGGTATATACAACTTCCTCCTCAAAATCAGCTGAGACCTCACACATGTCAGGGTCTTCTTTCGAGCAAGAAGACTGAGGTTCCGCTCCGCGTCTTTTATATGGACCACTTTTATTCGTGGCAGACTTAAAGCCCTCAGCAATAGCTTGGGAAATCCCGCGTTTAAGGTTGTGTTGTTTGGAACTTCATTTAGAAGCATCCGCTATTCCCAATAAGCACCCTCTGCAAAGGTTCTTACCCTTAGGTGCAGAAGACAAACAGTGTAAGCATCCGTAGGTTTTTTTTTTTTTTAATTCTTTATTTATGGTGCGTTTTCATTTTTACAAGATCACGTCCGGCCCCAACAGCCAGGACGGGCACTGTAACTGTAATGCAGGGTAACAAGGTTTGGTAATGGGTTAGTAAACAAGACATCTTATTAAACATTCGCACATTTTGTTTTTACATGGGAGTACTAGTAGGTTTTGTTGTAGCATTGTGTTAAGTTATGAGTGCGTTGATGAGGGAAGCGAGTGGGTAACCAAGGTATTAGTGGTGATGACCTGAGGCTTGTTTCGGTTACCCTAGTAGGTAAGTACCCCTAACCAAGGGGGTATCGGAGGGGGGTTGTACACCTCTTGTGGGTGTATCTCGTGTGTGTGTGTATATGCGAGATGGGTCTGAGGCTGCCTTTCCCCGGGACTGCTTAGTATGTATACCGGGTAGTGGTAGGGTGTATATCATGTGTGTATGCGAGGTGCTTCTGAGACTGCCCCTCTCTGGG